TTCTCTCTCTCTTTGCAGCGTTCGTGACAGAATATTATCTGACTTGCACGCTCATGTGAAACAGCCCTATCTTCAACTACTTCTTACATCGAAGCACTTCTACAAACAAACCAACAATATGCGTTGGTTGCGCTGGCGCTCTAAGAAACCAAGCAAAGCTGCCAAAGCACTTTCGAGTGACTCACCCTCTAAAGGTTTCAAGGTCCTCGGGCTCGATGAAGACACGGGCCCAAATATCCAGGGAATGCTCAGACAACGGGCTTACAAGCCCACCGTTGAGCACAAGAAACCAATCGCACAGTGGCGCTTCCAATTGAGCCAGTATGAGAATATTTTTCAAGTGGAGCATCTCAGAACAGCTATCCGCCTCAATGAAAACCATAAATTTGGAGGCCGCCCGGGTAAAATCGTGCACTTACAAGACGGGGTTGTGATGCCCAGAAACGAGATAGTGAAGCCCTATTGTATTGATGTAAGTCTTACTCACTCACTATGCTTGGAGCCAGGTGAGTTCTAACTTATATCAGGATTTTGGGAGACAACCGGCGCAGCGGTCGAGTCGTCCCAGGAGGTGACTCGACAGCTTGGAGCATGTGGCGAAATGCACGCCAATCTCTAATGTACTGTGGTAGCCTTTTGGTTTCTACACCGTCTTACTCTCACTACTCGTCAATCCCAGCTTTCAGACGATTTCCGCATGCCAGGAACTACAGGCAGCGACGGGTGCAAAGTGGTAGGCAGCAGTAACTCGATCTCGCCACCCGAATGCTCACCAATGACTCCTTATGCTAATTTTCAAGAAGCCTTGGTATTCGACTACAGCCAGGAGCTGCAATACTAATCAAATCCATGTGGCTGCCTTCCTTCACGTTGCGCCTTGAGGACAGCTTGGCTCCGTGTCTACCTGAGATCAGAGATATATGAGTCCCTGATCCAGTTTTCTCACTTTGAGAGATTTTTATGGACTAGTCTAGTCTATTTCATAATCGATATACACGACTGTTAGAGCATAATTCGTTATGTTAAATTATGCTCATATTTAGCATCTGCAGTATTATACCCGATGTGGTAATAGTCACTTGAGGCAGAAATTAACAGCATCGATGACCATTTTTGATGTATTTCCCATTCATGACTTGATAAATAAGCTTCTTACAGCACCGAAGTAGTTGGCTAACAATATGGTCAACTTTCTCATCCCTGACAGCGAGCTGTCTTCAGCAGAGGCTCGCCCAATGCCGATCCCATCGCGCCCCAATGACCCACCCCTCAAAACATCAAGCTCTTCAGCCTCAGCGAAAACAGAGGTTCAATGGACCGGTCAATGATCACCGAAGCACCCCGCGTACCCTTTGACGTCGACGGTCGAATCGCGGAGCTACGTTCTTATTTGAATGAGTACTTCCAGAATCAAACACAGAATATCAGAACAGCCTTTCGCCTTTAGGAAGAGGGTAAATTGCCAAGTAAAGGGATTAATCCAGTTCTCTGCATACAAGACGGAGTTGTAGTTCCTATCCAGGAGCTGCAGGTGCTCGGGAAGCCCTATTGGATGGAGGTTAGTGTTGCATGCTATACTTGACGATGAGGGTATTTTGACCTAGAATATGGTATTGCATATCAACGTTAGATGCAGGTTGCTTTCACCATCTGGCAGTGGCCGCTTCCATCAAGTCGACACCATGGGCATTTCAATTCCCGATGTTATTATTACGTCTCAAGAAGCTTTGATAAGATCCCACCTTCAGAGTACAGTGTCTATCTAGCTGAAATATGGTATTGTGTTCAATATCCTTGTTTTAAGAGCATTCTCTGGACTAGATGTGAGTAGATACATTTTTAGTCTCTCGTAATAGACATCTATGGGTGAGCGGCCGTTAGGGCATAAATGTTATGTCGAATTGTACATGTATTTATCCATCGCGTATGTAATCACTTACAAATCACGTGATATATGAAGGCCATACCTCCACCTGCGCTCACCACACTGTAACTCTTGGATATTCCTAATGTTTCTTTAATAAACTCCATCAAAATCAATTCTACTATGCAGCGTGCTAGTAAACACTAGTACAATATCCATAGTCCATGACCTGGCCCCCGGATAGTCAATCCCCCACAAACCACCACATTCCGATGACACAAACTACTCTCTTTCTTTCTCTTTTCTAAACTCGCTTCTCAGCTTCCCCGGAATCGAATCCGCGTATACCCCTCGATTGCATGGTTAGTCAAGGCACCATGCTACCACCAGAGACATGACATCGCGAGAAGATAGTGTCCTGGCCGCCAGAGACCCGTCTCTTGTTGACGAGAACGACTGGGAGGAATTCAGCCTGTCCGAGGTCCGGATCCTGGTCCCGGGAAAGTCACGATATGCGAATCTGCTTGCGGCCTCGCCTGAGAATCCTGTGCAGGTGACGGGATGTTTGGATGAGGTGGAGGAGGAGCAGGAGTCTCTTGGTGCGTGCTTCGTGTACTGTGTGTTCGGGATTGCGCTAACTTTCAATGTCTTGAATAGTCCTCGACGAAGAATACCAATCGAAGCGCATTGTCATCGAAAACGTCACCCACTACGCCTACGGCCAACATAACGATGGAGAAGTCGGGATATGGGTTGCTGGTCGTGCGGGCTGGTTCTCCATTTCGCCTGCAAAGGGGTACCGGCCCCTGTTCAACGAGATAGTCGAGGCCATCGATTTGTTATATTTCCTTGCGGACCGGCATCAGAAAAAGCGCAATAAGCGGAAGGATTGGAATCCCAGTGTGGAATACTTGTGTGAGGAGGTGGGTACTTGTACACTGAAATACGGTGGACGGCACTGACATCGTTCTAGTATGTTAGTCATACCCACGGGATCTGCGAGGATACGGACGATTCAGCAGAGGTTTTCTATAAATACCACGGCTTTTTGCTTTCGCAGATGATCAAGGGTGAGGAGGGTGTACAATGGACCAAGTCGAATCTGTTTGAACATCTCTGTGAGAAGTTTCCTGTGAGTCGCTGTGCCACCGCACTTCGCTGTCCGCGGAGTACTAATCTCATAACAGGAAACGTACGAAGAGATCAAGGCCGAAAACGAAGCGAAAGAGGACGAAAAAGAACAAACCCCAGAAGAACAAATCGAGACGCACAGCACACCCGAGAAGAAAACCCCACCCCCGGATTCGGCTACAGTTCCCCAAACACAAGCAGACACAATATACCAGGTCATCATCGACCTGAAAGAAGCTGGGTACTTGGCAAAACGCGAACTGAACCTCGACCTGGTTATTTCGACTGTGGTAGACCGTTTTGAAATTGGTAGCCGCGAGTATGCGGTTGATCTTGTCGCCGCGAGGGCGAAGAACGTCCTTAAATTAATGGACGAAGCGAAGACAGCCCACTTCGACTGGTCCCGCAAGGCCATCTACCGCGAGCTCAAATCAGCCACAAAGCGGAAGAGGAATCCAGAAGATATCACCTTAACACCCTTACGACCTCGCTCGAATGACAAGGATGAGTCATCTAATGAAGAAAGCGAAGAACAAGACGACCACCCTAGACACCGAAGACGCCGTGTCCGCAAGTCTGTTCTTCGGCCTAAAGTCAGCTCCGTCTCAGCCAAACAAATCGGAAAGAGAACTCGAAGCACCGCCGCCGATGATGACGGATACTTATCGGACGAACATCCTCACGATGGGCAGGATGACTTCGAAACACCAAGTAAAATCCGCGGCCACGAACTAGTCCGCGACCCGCTCTCCACAACCAGGGCAAAACGGACCCGCTCCGTCCTCTCAGACGCAGATATCCATTCAAAAACACCTTTACGAAAACTCGTCCTGAGCAGAAATACCCCCGCCCATGGCGCAGAACTAGAACGAGAACCCACCGCCGAACCAGATGACACATGGGCCTGCCAATTCCGCGGATGCGAAGCGGTCGTTGAACATAGCAGCTCGGAGCGCGGACAAGAGCTGGTTGAAGACCACCGTGCCAGTCACGAGGTTGATACACAGACGAAGTTGGATTTGGTCTTTGCGGAGAAGCAGCTCAATGTCGGTATGCCTGTGGATAATCTTCTCAGTCGGATTAGGGAGATGGGGGTTGGGTTGTTAGGGGAGATGGATAATGCTGCTAGTGCTAATGAGGTGTAATGCGCCATGATATCATTGTCTTGCAACTGGTAATATAAAAAGGTTGAATGCATGAGATACGGGGCGTTGATCGATATTACGGGAGGCATGACCTGATGAAACTTTGTTTAGATGTCTTGGAGATACCAAACGCGAAAGATATTTAAATGGATTCTACTTTTTTATTTTATGTAAAATAGGGAACGCTCTATGATTATTTTGTACATGTACAAGCCAATCCCAATCAAAACGAAGCAGAACAGCTTTTACTTTCCATACCCAGAACAACTAAAGAATATCACCTGCAAACATTCAAACACCCCTGTCGAGTATCAATCACGACCGTGCCTTGGCTCTCTTGCTCTTACCCGGTCTCTTAGGACCACCAGCCTTCATCTTCTTGTGCGAGAAGCTGCGCAGATCACCAGTAGACGCCGCATCGCCGCTCTTAGCATGCCTCTTCTTTCCTCCGAATCCGAACTTCTCGTTCCTCTTCTGGCGCTTGGCGCCGGGCTTGTTGGGGTCAGTACGGGCACGCTTGCGGCTACCGTCCTGGTCGGCGTTGTCAATGGCGACGTCGAAGAGGTCGTTGGCATCCTCGGTAGGGCCGGAGGAATCAGTCTTGCGCTCTGTTATCGCATTAGTATTGTACTCATAAGCATTTGTCAAGGTAAAGAGGACTCACTCTTCTTGAGAGCAGTGATCTTCTCCAAAGTCTCCCTCTTCTCCTTCTGCCTCTGCTGCAGCTTAGCAACCTGCACTTGCTTCCCGAACTTCTTCAGATCGCGCTGCTTGCGCGCCTCCGCGGCAGCCTTCTTATTAGCCGCCTCATCATACAACTTCTTCTTAATCCTGCCCATATGCTCATCCGACTTGACCATCTCGGCAAAGTAGTCACCAGGACGAGTAAACGGAACGCCCTCCTTCTTGAGCAAGTTGCGCGCAGTCAAGGCGGCAGATTGACAGACCTTGTAAAAGGCCAGTTCGCGGTTAATGTCGTCGTCGGGGTCAGGGACGTCGATGGGTTCTTTGGAGACGAGCGAGTTGTGCTCTGAGAAGGGGGTTTTGGGGGTGATGAAGGAGATGCGTTTGAGGGAGGTGTTGATTGCGGCGGAGTTGTTGATAGTCAGGCGTTGGTGGGGGATCACGTCCTCGCGTTCGTCGTCGTCGAGGTCGGAGAGGGGGATGTCTTCTTCTTCTTCTTCTTCGTCGCCTTCCTCGTCCTCGTCCTCGTCTTCTTCGCCTTCTTGCTCGCTTTGCTCCTCGTCGTCGTCGGATGCGTCTTCATTGTCGTCTGGCTTAGGTTCCGACTTCTTGGACTTGGAGGTCTTCAAGAAATTGTCAGCAATTGCGCATAAACCAAGAAAAATCTTCAAATCAAATAACTCGCGCATACCTTCTCCTCCTCTCCCATCTTCACATCCTCATCCTCAACACCACCCTTCTTCTCCTTCTTCTTCTTCTCCGCAGCCTTGACTAGCTTCTTCTGCTTCTCAGCATCATAATCCCTCCCCTTGTGGTCATCAAGAGCCTGGAGGAGCTTGCTTCTCTTAGGCATTGCGCTTTTTCTTATCCTTATCCGGATATCTTCAAAGAAAAAGGAAGAAAAAGTGTAGTAAATTGTGTTGAAAACGAGACCGCCGACAGACAGACCTTCAGCAGACGGGAATTTTTTTGGGATGGCGCTAGGGCCCGATTGGGATTAGTGTGTACGATAAGGCGGTGCTAGGACGGATGGGGTTAGTGGGAGTTCGGTATCCGGGGGAATAGTTGATCCGGGATCTTATCGGCTTTATTTACGGGAGTATGTCACTCCTGGTTGTATTCGAATACATAGGGATCTCGATTTAAAACTTTCGTGGGATTCGGCTTTTAGTCCGGTGTTCTAACTTGGTATACGCAATTGCAAACAGGAGTATCAGCACCATGACCGAAGACGCTAAGCCCACTGAAGCTGTCGCCCCTCCTACGGGGGAAACGCTCCAGTCGCAGCAGGTTGGTTACACAACATACGAGACTCGACATAGATAACTGACTATGCTTCCATGTACAGAACACAGATGCACAAGGCCACTTCAACGCAGCAGTCGACGAACTCCTGGACCAACTACAGCACAAATTCGACAATGTTTCAAGGGATATGTTTGGGAAGTGTGAGTTCCCCTTTTCGCCTACTCGGTGGTGGATCGCAAACTAATTCACATACTGCTGGTAGTGGACGACATGGCGCATCGACTGGACGACCTCGAATCTTCGCTAACGACTATTACGGACGATGCGACGCCTACGCCGGCGAAGTGATCAGTTTCTCTGAGTTCTGTGCTGCGTTGCGAAGCGATTTATACCCTTCTTTTGATATTGTGAATAGTAGTGGAGTTTGCGTTGTTTATAAGGAGAGATGAGAGAGTTGCATATTTACGCCCTCGAAGAGTGGCAGTTTCAAGCATATATTGAAGATACCCAGTGTTATATAACTAGATCGGGATACATAGAGGACAAGCTTTTCTGTGATTTCCAAAGCATCATATCCAAAGTCATATTTCATATCATGACAATTTATCATCCTTTTACCTCTTCCAACATAACCAATATTTCACGAGAAGCAAAAGAAAACAGCAGCAAGAGCTGAATGAGCGTTTACAGCTCATCCTTCTCATCCCGCTTACCACCACCCAAGAACTGGCGCAGAATGTTACTGCGCGAGACAAGCTCATCAACCTTCTCAGGCGCAGAGCCACCCTTCTGAATAATCTTGCTCAGACGAGCAAACTCCTTCTCAGCATACCCCTGGTTCTGGCTAAGCTTCTCAGCAACCTTAACATAGTACTCCGCGTACTTGTCCTGGATACCCTTCACGCTCTTCTTAACCTCCCCAACAAGGTCCTGGAAGTTGCGCGAGGCAACATACTTGCCAACAAATGCGTCAACCTTGGAAATAGTACCAGCCTTCTCGTCAAGACCACCGCCGACGGTGCGGTGGGTACCGGCCTTTTCGTTCAGGAAGTCAACGAGGGCTTGCTCGGAGCGACCGCCCTGGTACGCCTCGGGCTCCTTGGAGCCCTTGGGGAAGAACTTGATGGTGGGGTAGCCGGTGATGCCTTGTTCTCTGGCGAGGGACTTGGCGTTCTCGGCTTCGGCGTCAACCTTGGCGACGACGACGTTGGGCTCGAGGATGAAGTCGTTGGCGAGGGTTTCCCAGGTGGGGGCGAGGCTCTTGCAGTCTGCAACGGTTAACAAGTCAATCAAAAACAAGACAACGCAATTGGTGACTTACGTCCACACCACGGCGCAGTAAACGCAACAAGCACATCCTTCTCACCACCAATAAACTCCTTAAACGACGCATCAGTCAGCATCTCGACCTGCGAGGGCTCCTTCTTCGGCCCCCGCGGCTTCACCCCAGTCTTATCCGTGATCCAAGCACCCAAACTCTCCAGATCCCGACCACCCTTATAATCCTCGGGCTTATCACTCTTTCCATCGAACCACTTCAGCGTGGGGAAACCCTGGATACCGAACCGACGGCCCAATTCGCGGTGCTCGTCCGCATCGACTTTACCAACAGTGACCTTGTCGGAGGCGAAAGCGAAGGACTGGCCGAGCTCTTCATAGACGGGGGCGAGGGTCTTGCAGTGGCCGCACCAGGGGGCGAAGAATTCGACGAGCGCAGGTTTGCCGGATTGTAGGACGATGCTGTCGAAATTTTTGGTGTCGAGGTCGACGACGGCGGGATTGGCGAGAGCCAGGCCCATGAAGGTGAGGCAGCTCACGAGGAGCGTGCTAAGGCGAGTCATGGTGGTTGTTTAGGACTGATATAATCAATCCAAAATATATAACAAGAAATATAATGACCACCACCTATCTAATAATAAAGTAAGGTGATGGAAGAGTTGAGGTGTCGAGTCGATGTATGAAGCCCCAAAATGATCGACGGATTTATCAGCGCCGTGGAAGAGGCCACTTGGTCCATAGCGGGCATGACATCCACGGTTTACAATGCACTTATGGTGAAACAGCAGCACTCCACGGAATATATACTTGTAGGGCAAAATTGTAGGTATCTCGTCTAGATTCTTGTCGTTCCTACATACAATTACATGTAGCCAAATGTATACTCCCGTCTGTATACACCCGTCAACAAGGCGACGTCTGTATCGCGGCGACCTCGTAAGCATTGTCTGTAGTAACTATCACCGTCTTCCGGCCAACCACGCATTGGTGTTGTCCCATGTCTTTGCGTCCTTGGCCTCTTTACCAGCACCCTGCGTTGCCTTGTAAACCTATTCACCAGTCAGTATTGAACACCCTAAGAAAAATGGGAAGGTACTCACCGCATCCCACAACTTGAACGCCAGGTCCAAGTTCCCGCTAAAGCTGTCGCTGTGCTGGAACCAGGCCTTACCCTTCGCCTTCGTCTCTGCTCGAGCCTCTGGCGAGGTCGGGTTAGTCTGAGCTGGCAGATCGTCCAAGTATGTCCGGGCAGCGATTCCGAGACCGCAGTCATTGTCGTTGATAAAGGGAAGCCTATACATATATCAGAATTGCTACTTTCCTCTTTCTGTGAAGTATACTTACTTGAGAGTCATTTCCGACCAGTCCTCACGGTCACGGTCCGCATCACCGCTGAGAAACAGTTCGGCCAGAACAGCCTCAATCAGGATGCGGAGCGTGGAGCGGACTTGGGAAACCAAGGAGCGGTAGCAGAGAAGTTGTCTGCTTAGAGGTCCAGAATATCCAATGGGCTTGTGTTGTAGTTTACCGATACACGCAACACGGGAAACAAGGAGGTTAAATGTCTTGTCGTCATCTGAAAGAATCCAAATCAGCTTTGCTTGCTGCAGCAATTGTTCTCAAAGTATCTTACCTGACCCTCTCATGGGACCACCAGAGAGATGCGAAAACCACTGCTTAGTATTCAGGAGACCAAGACGGGCCATCTCAATAGCAAGGAAGGTAGACTCTTCAAGGTTGTCCGCCGGGTCTAAGGCTGAGAGTGCTTGTTCAAAACCCTCACCCCAGGGAGTGAGTTCATGTTTCTCGTTAATATAACCCCGAAGTTGCAGGAACCGCCAGTAGACATTCGAAAGAACCTCGTCTTGCGACGATACCGCCTTTGACAGTTAACATTTAGATCATGGCGGTAAGCAATGATATACACACCGGAGAATCCTTTCCTGCAAAAGACTTGGGTACAAAGTCTCTATCCTTCAAGCTTTGAACGGCAAATCTAAATGGCCCGGCAGTTTCCTGGGTATTGTCAGTCGTATATAATAGATAAAAAGTAAGGATACGGACCGGCAATTTCTTGAGCTTCTCTGGAAGCTGCTCGCTGTTAATTTTCCACGATTTGATGGTGTCCTTAACTGAGAGATTCTTCAGGTTGATCGAGCGGTCCGAGTTCTCGTCGAACCAAGTGCGCACATTAATCACCTTAGTCTGATAGAAACGGTGCAGGGTGTTCGCCACCAAAGAGATTGCCTGAGCCCTGATTGGCGTAAGAGTGTCACCCACGACCTGGCGATAAATCGGGGTGTCTTCCGCACCCAGAGGCAAGGAGACCAAAACTTCACTGGAGGTCAAGGTATTCGGGATATCAGCTCCCAGGATTCCCTTGGAGAGGTAAAAGTACAGCTCCTCAGGAAGTCGCTGCCCGATTATTTCATGCATATCATTAGAGGTATTGTCCGGATCCATTGGCGCAACCTTTCCATCCACATCGATAAACACATGGTGCTTCACAGTCATGTAAGCCCGTTTGTAAAGGTCCGTGTACTGAACATCTTGCACGCGGCGGTCTTCTTCGAATTGGGCGCAGAGAGCGAGGGCGCTTCTCCCGGCAAGGTTGAACATTGGCAGGGCATCGCGGACGGTGGGCCCCTTGGCCGGGAAGGGTTGGGTCTCAAATGCCGGGAACGTTGGCAGGAACGATGAACCCAAAAGAAGACAGAAGTCCAAGAACTGGTCATTCGTTAACTTGCCCAACTCCTCCTGGCAAGTCTGTTTTGTGATCCAGAAAAACTGCGCCGGCTCGGAGTCAATCCGGGTAATCAGCTTGTCGACATTGAACAGGAGGATTTCGGAAGATCCAAAGACTGCATCGACGAGGGGGTTCGGGCCGCTTGTGAGGTAGGCAAGCTGTTGGGTAAAGACCATTAGCATTCGCAATCGCCTTATGGGTTATTATACTCACCTGAGCCGCAGCGCTATACGGGGCAACAATAAAGTCCAATCCATTCTGAAGGAGAATCCGTTGCAAGAACTTGTAGAAGTTCACCGGAGGGGGTGTACCTAACAACCTAGTCAGACGTGGGGAAGGCCTCGACTATTATCCCGGGCAAGGGAGGAAACATACCAGCAGAGCTAAACGCATCCACGACTTGATCCGCCTGCTGCTGATCGTAAAGATCCCAAGCCTGCCCAAAAGCCCGTACCGACTCAGGTCGCACGTGGGGTCGCCGGTCCTTCTTGCCAAACTCGAGGCCATCGAAAACAAAAACACAAGCCACGCCCAGATTCTTAAAGATCTGCAGCTCCCGCTCGATGTTGTTCTTTAGCGCGAATGGGAAACCGCCCAGTGCGATCAGGAGAGGTTCGCGGGTGGACTGGTGGAGGAGGTGTTGGGTGATGTAGTGCGACGCATCGATACCGACCACGGCCCCTTTGAGGGCAGAGAGGGGGAGAGACTGGAGGCGGGTGGAGGCCCATTCATCCAAGGCACGGACTGTTCAGAATAGCGATAACTTGGTCAGTATCAAATGGAAGAGTGAGCTCAGTAGTGTACAGGTGGGAGACTTACTCGCCATGGTTGCGGCAGTGTCGAGCTAAGCAGATGCCAGCCCCAGACGATAACGAAGGTGAGGAAAGAAAGGTAAGATAAGATCCTTTTCAGGAAGCGAGAGAATAAGAAAAGAGACACACAACCCCGACTGTCTCGTGGATTCAGCTTGGACTTGTCGCGACAGTTGGTTGGAGTTGGGCGGAGCGGAGAGTCGATGATTCCGATGGGTTTGTTGTTTATGCTCTGCCTCAGTAACCAAAACGAGGACAGAATACTTGTACACACGATGTTGAATGCTGCAGTGGTTAATATATGCTGACAATGCTGACAGCTATATAAAAACTAGAGGCAAACAAGCGTTGACGTCGAATACACCACAACGTTAGGTAACTATCTGATACCAATAAACCACTCGAAATATATATCGAATCTAGCATCTGCAATCTACTCTGCTAATCCATGCTCATACATATATCCGCAAAAACAGAACTAATGCATCATGATGTTAATGGAAGCACAATAACGTATCTCAGCCAAGCTGCTTTGTCTAATAAAAATCGTCCGGCTCTGATTGACTCTGATAGGAAGATAAGAATCTCTCCGCATGCCTTGCCTATATCCATCACATGACTGTAATACAATTCTCATTTATCTGTGAGTCTATCTCAGCTTATTCAATTTCCTCGAGAAGTATTCATTCCTCAAGGAAAGAAGAGAATGGCTGCAATCAATCTCCCCATCATCGACATCTCGAACCCCCATGACCTCTCCATGGGAAAAGCCATGCTCGACGCAGCAGCCAAATACGGCTTTTTGTATGTGGCTAGCCAGAGCACTGAATTTAGTGCTCAGGATGTGGAGAGAGCGTTTGGATTGGTATGTACTGTACCTAATTGAGAAACTCAGTTGCTAACTGCTCGCAGTCGAAGGATTTCTTTGCATCTCCGGTTGAGGAGAAAGCTACTTGTCGGATCACGCCTAGTGTTCGTCCCGGATACCAGCTGAATGAGCAGTTTCTAACTGAATTAGAATCGAGGATGGTCCGGTATGCATGTTGAGACACTCGATCCAGAACATCAACGGGTATGACTACCTCAACACAAGATAGAATGCATAGCTAACACCATCCAGACCGGCGATTTCAAGGAGTACATACCCTACACCTCAACAAAAACCCTCTACACTTGCTAACGAAAGCAGAGGCATGAACTTCGGCGAATTCACCGCCGGCAAAGCTCCCCAACCCCTTCCCCCCTCGTTATCCCCCCACGAAGCAACCCTCGATCATTTCTCCACCCTCTGCCGCAAAACCTGTGATCAAATCCTAACCCTCCTAGCCCTGGGCCTAGAGGTACCCCCTCCCCCCTCTCCACCCACAGCCCCTCTATATACGAATATATCTAACCCAAAACAGGTAGACCCAACCTTCTTCACAACCCGCCACGACCCCATCCACGGCCCCTCAGGATGCACCCTGCGCTTCCTGTACTACCCGTCCCTCACATCCCCGGCAACAGCGTCCTACAAGCATGACGAGGATGTGCGTGCGGGCGCACATTCGGATTACGGGAGTATAACGCTTCTTTTCCAGAGGCCGGGACAGCCGGGGTTGGAGATACTCACGCCCGAGGGGGAGTGGGCGGGTGTTCCTGTTGAGCCTAATCAATCATCCCAGGGCCAAGGGCAGGGATTTGCATTCCCGCCCATCCTGGTGAATATCGGGGACTTACTTAGTTACTGGACGGATGGGCTGCTGAAGTCGACTGTTCATCGGGTTGTTTTTCCGTTGTCGGAGCAGAGGGCTGAGAATGAGAATGAGCAGAATCGGTATAGTATTGTTTACTTTTGTCATCCGGTTAACACGACGGAACTTGTCCCCGTGCCGAGTACGATTGTCGATGCTCATCGCGAGGAGCGAAAGGAGAGTCAAGATGATAAGGTTGGGTTTGGAGGTGGTGCGGGTTACTTGGTCCCTGGGAAATGGGCACTGACGGCGAGTGAACACTTACAGGCGCGGTTAGCCGCGACGTATACTTACTAGAATTAAGGCTCGAGTCATTAACGGGATGGAATATCGAATGATGTTCATAGTACTTGTATATCCAATCACGTCTATCTACACCGTAAATCCCTGTCATAACAAGTCTTTGAAGATCTGAAACAAAACGCAGCTGAAACAAACAAAGAAACCAACGCCTTCGAGAATCATACATGTCAATGCCAGATGGCAAGAGTAAACGAAACGGAACCATGAGAGCCCGGAAAGATAGTAAAGTAAAACACGAAAGAAGAAAAACATGAAACCTGTACGCCTGCTGTGCTCCGTTTTGCTAGAGAGGGCTCTCATCAACGTGGCATAAATAAAGAGTATCATTATAATACCCGGTATCTGCTGGAGTCAGTATAGGTCAATCATGCACAAGGTAGGGGGGACGTACTGTTTGAGTAACTCCTCAAGGCTGTCTGCACTGCAGGCACGACCTTTGGGAATTTGTCTGAAAATCTCGACAATAGTAGCAAAGACATCACCTCCCCGGTAGGCCAGCAAAGCCGGAGCTTGGATGTGGTCCATCTCAGCGATTTCCTGATGAAGCTTGACAAAGTGTGTAGTGACATTCCGGCGGGCAATAGTGTTGAGACAATCCTCAACAATACCACTAGCACTGGACTGTGAATAGTCAGCAACTAATATAGACATAGATATAGCAAGTGAAAAAAGTGAAACATACCTCAGGATCATAAACACAAACCACAACAACCGTATCAGCCGTAACCTGCTCAATAGCATCCAAATACCCCGCCGCATCGACCGTATCAACACCCCCAAACCTCTTCCTCCTCGGACTCGACCGTCTCATATTCCGACCCTGCAGCTGATTCATCCTCGACTCCCGCCACTTGCGCATGAATCCCTCCTCATCCTCATCCTTGGCCCCATCCCTTGGCGGGGAGGAGTGGTTCAAGGGCGTGGTGTCATCCGAGACGAGCCCGCCCAGTGTCCGGCGGTGGGATTGTTTCCTGGCGCGCTCGAAGGCCTGGGCGTCGGCGATGACACCCTTGGGACCCGTGTTGGCGTCGAAGACGGTGTTGGGGACGTGGTAGGTTGCTGTGCGCGAGCGCATGGTGTCGTTTTCGTCGTCGGAGTCGGAGAGGGGGTTTGCTGAGGGGTCTTCTTGGTCTTCTTCGGTATCGGAGGGGCTCGAGGCACGGTCACGATCTTCGGGGTGAGAGGAGTATTTCACCTTGGAATTGTGGAGGAGTTGGTTGAATTCGTCTTGGGCAGCAGAGGACATGATGAAAGAAGAAGAGCGAAAGACGGGGAAAAAGGGATCTTTTATAAAATAAAAACCAGGCAGACGATTTAGCGGTCAGATAATTTTTTGCTTAATTTTTTTTTTTTATGCACAGCCCTACTAGATAATCAACGGGCGAAGGAATTGTTGAAAGAAGTGGTGTACTGTCCAACTTGTCCGTTACGGGCGACTGACTCCGTTTCAGAACCAAAAGTGGCACCTCCCTTTCTGCCCCCTGAAAATTGACGAAACGGGAAAAGCCTGAGATAAACACTCCGCCGATCTTGCTTTTGGCGAGTCGTGTCAACGTTCTTCGGCACTTCTGACTGCGGCAGCAAAGCAACTTGGTACTTCTAGCAATAACAATCGGCGGCTACTGAAACAAAGCACAATAGACACGGAAGCGAGATGAAAACCATTGAGCCCCTGATATGTACTTGTACGTACAGTACGGGCAGTTTCAGCGGAGATCATCGGAATTGTTTATCTCCAGCAAGTACCGGCTCCAGTTATTCCGTACTCCGCCACGCGGAATCGAAGGACGACAGAAGGTTCCATGGCTTTGCTTTTTTGGTAGGGATTGCTTTGTCTGTAGTCTGTACATAGTAGAAGAAACTCACGTGTGTACCCTGTACTAGTAAGGATTAGAGAAATGGTCTAGATTAATTGCTTTGTTTATCCTATCCACTGCGGTACGGAGACTAAGGCGAATCAACTAGCGGAACACTATCCGATAAAGAAAGAAAGAAAAAAACAAGCATAGGGCAGTCAACAGGTCATGAACCATCTTTCTAGAAGCATTCGACTCAGCGCACACACGCGACACCTACAAAAACTCAATCTCATGCCAACGCAATCATCAAGCTTCCAGACAGAATTGAAACAAACCATGGCCATAGCACATCCATCGTTGCCAGAGTACTTGGAAACGGCACAACCACGGATACGGAGTAAGAGTGAAGTCATAGTCGTTAGAACTCGAGTCATTCGGGTTTAAAGGAATTCCATATCAATTCTGTGACCGGATAGGAGAACCCACTAAACTAGTCCTAGTCCATTTAGCATACCTCTAGGCCAGACCCTGATATCGGAGAATACCACTATAGCACTAACACTACTAAAAAGACCACAAAAAACGGATTTCAAATCTCGCTGATCAAAGACGAAAACTCGACCGTATTCTCCGTTCTCCATACGCACTCCGGAGTACTCTGTACGGAAGATTGAAATGATGTTTACATTAATCGGGGCAGCCGCGATGATAATCCTACTCTAATCACCCCAAGTGGAGTCACTTGTCACAGAATCCCCGACAACGACTTTTTTCTATTCAGGGCATATGCTCTGCCCATTCTGCTACACCGTGGATAATCTTAATTTTCTTATCTTTGTTAGCGAACATTTCTGACACCGGTATAACCCCTTGAACTCTATAAGTACCGAATGTTTAATTTTCGGCATTTCTAGTTCACGATTGTGTACTCTGTAGACGATATTGGAGCCCTCCGAGACAGACAGAATACGGAGACTGTGGGCTGCATATTCTGAAGCAACCGGATTCCGAACGCGATGCTGCATCTGGTTATACGGCCGTTTAGTGGATCTTTCCCTGTTGTGATGCAATCGCACTACTATTGTTTAGTACAGAGTAGTCCTCCGGAGAATATGTACAGCAATGTAAGGGCCATCCAGCCAAGACGATGGATATCGGTCAACCTCCGATTCTCACAAGTACTGCGTGCTATTCTGCACTCCGTACAGTGTACTCCGTACGGAGTCAGACCCTGCCGAGAATAGAAAAGGGAGGACTAGCTAAAACGGGACCATCCCCCGTGTCAGGATCCTGGTCCTTATATGGATATATGAAGAGGCGCGGTGTCATTTGCGGGTTGGGTTGTAGTGACTTCGGATAGGCCTCCGGATATTATCTTGCATATCCTCGGATGCAGAAGCGGCTGGCAGATGTAGTGCGTCTGACATCTGGTCGATGACGCGGAGAATATCTCCGTTAGGATTGGATTGACATTGCATGTTACAGGAGCCGATGGTGCATATGATGGCGTGTACTGGCTAGGCTGACTCCAGTCGATGTTGGATTATCTCGATGGCAACACCTGTTTCTGTCCATTCTCTCCAAGGACTAGACAATGCTGTTTGAATTGCTGTAACACTGGCATCATACTACAAGAAGACATTTATTATTCGATTAATCACTCCAACACCCCAGATTTTAACTTTAAAGCGGCTTCAAGAATAAAGTCACAAAGGAAATTGATCAACTGAAATATAGTATAAATCCAACACCAACAGACAGTCCCATATAACAAATAAGTGTAAATAGAAGACATCCATCCCCTTCCGATTCACATCCTCAACGTGGTGAATTAGAAGTAAAAAAATGAAAATGAAAAAGAAAATACAACGACCAAAGTCTGGCCATGGCCTATCCAGAAACAAACCTTCCCTTTCCACCACAAATAGGAAATACATAAAAGCGCAGGTACATGAGTTCAGGATAAAGGGAATATGGGGTAATGAACAAGATGGTAAAAAATAGAAAAAGGGGGGAAGATAAAAATCATCCGAGTCTTGTCGACAAACGCCAAATCGATCGCTATGTATATCGCTTCTATCCGATGTCTTTGCGCGTAATCGTCGCCGACTGACCACCTCGGATTCTCGGGCGTTCGTCCATCTTCTCCCACCCAAATAGCATATTATGGTAAAGCGGCCGAGCGGTTACTCGGTCAATAAGAATTATCGTACAATGGCGGAACGTTTAACCCATCGGTATGAGAAATAACCAAGGAAAAGAGGGGAATAAAAATGAAGAAAAGAAGAAAGAAAGGCGTTCGAATGATGACGTTGCAAAGATTGGCGACGTGGGTATCTTGGTTCTGAATTTGTTTACCAGGCCCAGACCTTGAGCTGTATGGGGGAAGGACACATTAGCAAGCTGTGCCATTGGGCTAATGAGCAGGGTGCAACTTACCAAAGAATCCCAAGATCCAGTACACAAACTGATGCCGTCGTTGCTAACACCAAGACAGCTGACACGGTTCTCGTGGCCGCTCAGAGAACCAACCTTTTCACCCCGCAGGACATCCCAGACCTGATTCATCGCGTTAGCATACAGGCTGCTTCATACAGAGAAAGTCATAAATACCTTGCACTCAAAGTCATCGTAACCTGCAAACAGTAACCGTCCAGAAACGGAGAAAGCAACAGATGTAATACCGCACTGCACTTGGTCGTTCTGGATTGAAAATTAGCTTTGTTCTCTTTTTCCTTGGAGACGCGCCAAGGCAAAGAGCTTACCTGGTAGGTGTTGAGTTCGCGGTCGGCACGGATGTCGAAGAGACGGCAGGTGGTGTCATCGGAACCGGTACCGAAAGCGTTTCCGTCGGGGAAGAATTGGATGGCATTGATGTCCGACTCGTGTCCAGCAAAGGTCTGGACGGCCTTACCAGTACGGACATCCCACAGTTTGGCGAAAGCATCACAGGCGCCCGAGACGAAGACGTTCTGGTTGGTCGGGTTGATGCTGATGGACATGACGTCGCCCAGGTGGTCGGCGAACTCGGTCACCTTTGAGCCGGTCTCGATATCCCACAGCATACAGGTCATGTCACCGGACGAGGTAAGGATACGGCGATCGTTGATGAAACGGCAGCAGGACAAATAACCCGAGTGACCAGACAGCTCGCGCGCGACACGGGTCGGGCCCTCGCGGGACGACAGGTTGTAGATTGAGCAAATGTTATCCAAACCACCACAAGCGACATAGTTTCCACTGGGGGCGTAGGCGCAAGTCATCACCCACGACGACCGCAATGGGATCGCGTGAACTTTGTTGGTGGTGTAGGCATCCCAGATAATGAGCTTTCCATCTTGCGAGGCGGAAACGAGGTGGCGGCGGTCAGTCGACCAGTGCATGGCGTAAATCTTGGCCAAATGGCCCTTGAGTGTCCGGCGTGGCTTCATCCCGATCCGGGGCAAAGCCTCGGACTGATTTTGTGCAACTTGACGGACTGTATAGATGGAAAAAAACGCGAGTCAGTATTCAAATTCATAATGTACTCGAAGTGGAAAGGCAGCGCAAGTAGGCGTATGCTGGCGGATGCAGCTAAACGCGGCGAGCAGAGCGCTTATAAATATCCCAGTATCATGACGAGAACGGGTCGCGAACGGGAAATAGGAATGGGAAAGCGTACGGGAGGTGTCTGCTAATTCATCCTTTCTGCGCTTTATCTTGTCCTTGAGCTGTTCAGCTTCGCGCCGGGCCGCGGTGATTTTGGCCTGCATCTGTTCGCCGCTCATATCGGCCATCTTGACGGATTATGTACCCCTGAGGTGATCAATTCGAAGGAAAAGAGAAAAAGAAAGGTCGTAAAAGAAGATTGAGTGAAATCGTAGAAAACCCAGGACGTGAGAGAGAAAAGAAAGGAAAGGAAGGAGAGAAAAAAAGGTGTAGAAAGTCCAGGGGGTCAGAGTTGGCCGGGGAAGAGAGTGAGAGAGTGAGAAGAGAGTGAGAAGAGAGAGAGAAGGGAAGAAAGAGAGTTGAGAAAGGCCCGAGGAGGGGGGTGGATGGATGTGGAGCGCGCGTTAAAAGGTCTTGTAGTTACGGGCAAATGCGACCGACAACTAGACGAAAAGCTTCATCCGCCACGCAAGTAATTAAGTCTTGTCTGTATAATTCTTTCTTATTCTTTTTTTTGTAGATTTATTCTCAATATTATTCTTTGACGTGTGAGCAAAAAGAATGAGCCAGAAGAAGCAAAAGGAGTACGCCATATAGATTGGTAATGTATGGTATTAGTGTATTGTAATATTCAGGAGCAGCAGAAAAGCCGGTGGAGCCGCAGCGGACAATTCGGAAATTACTCGGGGTGATTGGTGGTGGCAGCTCCATTGTGGAGACCTTGAAGGAGAAAGGGGGAGTAATACAAATACCATACAGAAGCATGGATGATTATTATTGAGGGTAGAATCAGTGCAGAGTACAGAGTAGACAGACAGAGAAAGGGGAGGATCAAAGACATTTATTCATTATTAAGTAGCTTATTAGCCAAACTATGAGTATTTCATGAAGAAGTCCACGGCTGAAGACGAATTGAATTTGTCATTCCCTACGCGAGTACAGACGGTTGCAATTCATAAGCGAGATAAGCACTCTGTAGGGAGACTCGGTGTGAATGTCAATAATAATGAACTTGCACATGTATACAGTAGGTAAAGTAGGTAAGTCGCATACCGGAGTAACCTGGCAAACGGAATATCGATCGAGCCGAGATTTGAATCGTCCCGGTGAACCCGCTGATTGGCCCAACGGGTTTCCAATTTTTGTTCCTCCTGAATTGGGATCTCTTTCAGACTTGCGATCCGACTGCGAGAAATCCTCGTTGCTTTTGGAGGATGGGTACTGTGTACTGTGTACTTGTAGAGTAGAGTACAAGTGCGTATGTCTACTTGTAACTTATATGTAGACAGACAAAGAACACCCGAATTGAGAGCAACATTGAGATTAACAAAGACCAAATGGTCTCTTTTCCTTTGTCTTCCGCCGAAACACCGACGTCATGACCGTTACGGAGGCTCCATTCCAATAGCCTCCCTATGATCACCTGATTTTCTAGTAATCCTCTGGAAGAATGAATGATATTCACTCTGTGAACTCTCTATTTTGTGCCTGTCTTCCCTGTCGTTATTACCGGCCGGGTGAGGGTTGATTTGAGCATCGCCTTCGGAAAGCATTTGACATCTTGGTTATGTACTCTAAGCTTCACCACCCTTTTTTTTTTTTTAGTATTGAAATGAACAGAGGATCCCATTTCCGTTGCAATTTAGCCAGTCATTGAATAGGCATAAGCTGCCAGAGGATGGTTCCTACGCTGCACTATAAGTGAACTTTTAATCTCATCTTAAAGGAAATATCAACACTCTGAAGTACATAATGGAGTCACCAATAAGTAAGCATTGGCATTGCATTATTGCTTATTGTACCAGCCACCTCATCCACGACGGATTATTTCCTCTTCATATCAAAGGATCCAGTATCTACTCCGTACGAACGGAGTATCCATCCTCAACAGAGTTTTTCTACACTAAAAGCGCTCGGTGACACTGCAAATGTAATCGAACTGCGATCTAACAGCTAGTCCAAGTGAGCGGCTATTCTCATGCAACAGCTCAGAAGCAGGGCTGATTTCGCCTTGGTTTCCCAATTAGGCTTAGTTCTCGCACAATAGCGGTTCGGAGCGGAGTGCATATCCACCTTGATCGACGGCTAGCCTGCAGCCTGCCATCTCCATCCATCCCCATACTCCATCCATAGTACGGAGTACAATTTGTATATCCAGCTCTAGCAAACTGTCCCGGAAGTATGCGCTTGATTGAGTCCCGACAGATGGCGCATTGGAATGGCGAGACATCAACACAGCATCATTAGCAAGTTCGAATTGTTCAGACTGCCGTGGGATTTGGTGTTCCTTGCCAACCGTGACTACTGCATGGGGTGCCTGTACCCACTTTAGTTGCATATATCCCCCCATTGCTCTGCTTGGCCCGAAATAGTCCGGAAAGACCTCGAGAAACTAGTGCATATCTGAGCGAGTATCAGATAGAAATTGAGTTGGTCGATGCTCAAATGATTACAAGCAAATTGTGAGAATCGTGAAGCGTTATGTCTTGGTCAACTCAATCCAAGCCCCGGCGCAAAGGCACAGGAGAGGCAACAATGTCATACTGCGCAGAAAATGCGGGAAGTGATAACATACCAAAAGCACATCGGAAGTGTTGTGGCAGAACACCCAAGCAAAGCTACCATCGTCACTCTGTACAACGAGTATTCTTGTGGACTGGGAACCTTTGGCCCTTGTTCGATAAAGCCCCACAGCCGTGTTCCTAAATCTCCGAGCGCATGACGTCCGGAAGAGCATCGCTGCCCAGTGATCCCAACGCGTGAACGACAAATATGGTAGTATCTTAATTGAATGACTGACCCCAGAAAGCCCTGCAGCTTTATGCTCAATCTGTAGAGGAGACATTACCGATATTATTACCCTGTCTCCCAAAATACCGTTCTCCTAGGTGTTGCAACCCATAATAGGAGTACGGTCAAGAGACTTGTATTTTCCTTATTGCACAGAAGGCGTCCGACTGGGCTGCAGGGAGATTGGGAACAATAGTACCACCATCCAAATCACAGAGGTCCCTGCGAGTATTCATCAAACCTGTACAGTGTCCTGATGTCTTAACGGAAACGGAGAGCTTGTCGTATATTACGGAGTAACCACACTGAAACAACCCCGTTGAGAAGAATCGGGGATTCGCTAGAGGATGTCAGAAAGAACCTCGTACAAGAAGCACCCTAGATCCGTTTTAATATCTGAATGAAGGCGCAGCAGCAACCATCATCATTCCAAGATATGCTTGTGAACCGGTCAGGCGTCGTGATTCCAGATCACGTTGAGCGGCCTCACTCATTGAATGACATAGCATCTCCTGGGTACACCAGCCATTATCTTCAAAAGAGGACGAGCAGCAGTCACATCGGATGAATTTATTATTATATGACAACCAGAGAGCAGTGATCACTACCATGGATAGCAAATATACTACGTAAATCTAAACTAGACATTGCTAAGACTAGGTTAGATCGGAAGGACGTATCAACTCCGTACTCCGTATTCAGACAAGCGCAACGGAAATTGGGATCAAAGCATAACGGAAATAATCAAGGTCGATCAATTACATTGTTCATGTCCCGTCTCAATGGTGAGTCTTCAAGCAGAGGAATACTAGCATGATCCAGGTAAGCGACCGAGACTATTTATTCAGTATCATCCCCTGGGCTGGTTGTTGTTGGTCTCTGCGCCCTCCGATCTACCGGAGCCGCGGCTGAATTGGGTAAATGACGAGGATAGAGTGAGGACCACCGAGACTTGACTAGTATTGGTAGTGTCATTGCCATTATAACAATGATGATAAGCGTCTGTGTTTTCTCAGGATAATCATTAAGGATCGTTTGCAGTGGCAAACCGAGGGACCTCATGTCAGCCGTGCGTATGATACTCTGGACACATCAGAAAATCATTTAATTTGACTCTGTGCTGAATCCTGGAAGACAAGTGTACTCGATACATAGAAGAGGCAACATTATTAAGAATCTCCGAACGAACGCCTCCGCTTCAAAAATCTCTCGGTGTTGCCTCTTTGCCTCCCCAGCCAGCGCCAGGTATTACTACCACCACCACCACCACCACCACCACCACTGCGGCTAATTATAACGGATTCTTAACCTGAAACTGTTCAGTTCTCATCTGTTCTCATCTTTTAACAATAACTCACTCTTACTAGTATTGTGAATCGTTGATCCATTCATCTCTCAAGGTGCTCAGTTTTCTGCAGCCGCCATAAAATCGGGAGTTGGTCACCAGGCTCGGGTTCTTGGCTCTCCCTTTCACTCCAACTCTTTCTTCACTCCATCTTTTCTCACTCTCTCCCTCACTCTCTCACATCTCACCACACTCTCTCTTTCCCTCGGCTTCATCTCCTCCATCCTTTTTTCATCGCTTTTTCTCTCGTTGCATCGTCGGATTCTTCATGTCTTGGGAATAGAGTCATCTTTTTTTTTTGTCTCTTCTGGTTTTGGTTGGTTTTTCCTCTCGTTCTTTCTCCTTGGTTATCTTCCACCTTGAGGGGTCACAAGTCTGTACCCCATTCTCCTTCGGTCTGTTTTTAGGGGCTGACTGACCCCCATTCGCAGTCATCCCTCTCTGTCCTCCCTTCGACTCCTTGATTCCTTCTTATATTAAAACCGCTTTCTATTGTCGACTTGTCCGACACTGCCTTCATTCATCCTCGAATCAGCCCCATCACCATCGCTCAGAACTTAGTCGCCCATCATGAGAGAAGTCAACTTCAGCATTCCGAATGTGAATAAAGCATCCGTGAACATCACAACCACCCTCTATGACCGCCGTGCCCTCGATTGTACATCCACCTTGCCTCTCATCAACTCCCTGAATCATCTCGCCTATCTTACCACATCATCCGCCCGCATTCGGGATATTCTCACCGTCGATGGCGGCATCGAACGTCTCGTGTGCATCCTCAAGGAGGGTCGGAGTCGGAATCTGATGGAGATGTGGAAATGGAGCCTTGCTTTTCAGTGCGTGGTCAACATTGGCGTAAGAGGTTCGGAGAATGTGCGGACAAGAGTGGTGGAAGCGGATATGGTGCCGGTCATCGCGACCATCCTGGACAATTACATTAAAGTCGTGGATAAGGCGCGGGCGCGGGTCGATGAAACACAGAGGCATTCGTCGAGGCATCATCCTAAACCCATCCCAGCACCTGCTCCTGCCACGGGTGACCATGAACACCGACCCTCTCGCCGACAAGCACCGCCATCGCATATTGAGATTCCTCAGTCCTCGGGCCAGGAAAACCAGGCGCCTGACTCTAATGCAATGGATATCACGTCTTCACCTCCTCGGATGCCGATGACATCGCCACCGGAACGCAGCGTGTTTGGACAGGAAACCCTTCAACATAACCACCACCACCACCACCACCACCATCATCATCATCACCATCACCATAACCGCACCAATCAGCCCATCGGCCATCGTCATCGGGCTATGCAACCCTTGGCCACGGCCGTCCCCACAATGGATGCCGCCGATGGCTTCCATCTGCGCCCTGTGCGCGACACGGAACGACTCCCTAGCATGCTTCCACGGTTGCATACTGGCTTTACCTCTCAGCCTGACTCCCCGACCACACCCAGTGGTCCAGTGCAATCGCGGAGTAATCCACCCACATCGAGCACCTCTCCAGCTCCCGCAACGACTACGCTTCAACGACCTGCGCTCCATCAGCACCCTTCTGCTTCGGGTGAGTCGGATGGAAATGATGAAGGCTCTGCGGCCGGTGATGACGCAGCAGGGCCATCCGAGCCAATCGTGGGACTACAGAACCAGATGGAAATTGATGAAGTGGGCGACAGACAAGCGATGCTTGAGGGTGTTTCCAACACCCACGACCTGACGGTCACCGATCCTTCTGAAGGACAAGATGCAGAGACTTTCAACATCAGCCATCGCTCAGCTGTTGACGGTAGCACGATTAACAACGACACGACGCAGACCAACGGTGCCTTGGGCCTGTCGCCGGCCCGGAACGCCAACAACAACTCTCCGGCCATCGTTCCTAGCCCCTATGCTCTCTACTACCGCGATCGAGCAACGACCACGGCTCAGGGTGTGTTGACGACAATGCCTCGTGATGAAGACGTTTTGATGTCGCTTCAGCTTCTGGCCTACGTATCCAAGTACTGCAACCTCCGGTCCTTCTTCCAGCATTCGCACCTTGTTCCAAAGCTCAAGATTGACCGTGAACTCAACATGCTGGATGACCCCAGCGCCTCGCCGGTCGAGCAGCCAGAGGAAGATGAATACCTTCTTCCAGATGATGTGAACATCTTCCCCCTGGTTGAGAAGTTCACTGTCCGTCACCACTCGAAGGACATGCAGTACTGGGCATGTGTGGTGATGAGGAATCTCTGCCGCAAGGACGAGTCTCGCGGTGGCATCCGCCAGTGTGCGTACTACAAGTGCGGCAAATGGGAGGAATTCCAGCGACAGTTTGCCAAGTGTCGTCGTTGCCGCCGTACCAAGTACTGCAGCAAGGATTGCCAAAAGGCCGCGTGGGTATACCACCGCCATTGGTGCCAGACCACGCCATGATAGGAGTTCTGTCTCTCTTGTTCCTTTTATCTTTTTGTCCTAATATCCATAATGCATATTGGCTCGCATAGCGTCATACCAGTCATATGGCTTTTGTGTTATTTTCTGTCATCATCTACCCGTGCATGGCATTCGAGAACCTGGCGGCGTTTTCATCTTCCCCAAGATACCTTTTGTATGTTGACTTTTGTTTGCAAATGATTTTTGTTTTGCTATGTCTATTCCATTAATGTTGGGTACAAACCCGTTATTGTCATGAATATAACCATTGGATCTACCATCTTTACATGCATATACTTAGTCATTGGGACTTGTATGTATTCATGGGTCTGTAGCGTTTGAATTTAGCTCAGCAGTTGGTTTGCCATGTTAACTAACTTGGTGCTTTGTTTCTTGATTGTGATTAATTCCATAACATGGTTGCATAATGGATTATTGCATTGGTGTTCGACCACTGTCTGTTGATGCATATTTCTGCCAGGTCTCCGTAACCTTTCCTTCCTGATATCCCGTCCCATACTTGCCAATATCACGTTCCCCCAAGATTGTCAACCTACGGCAACCACCTCGCCCTCCAACTAGCATCCCTCGCCTCCTCCGCCTTCTCCCGAAACACCCTCTCAGCCCTCACCCACACCCCCTCTGCCTGCCTTCGATCCAACGTCCTAAGACTGGGCAACAACTGCCCCGCAAAATCCTCACTCGCCTCCCTAGCCACCAGCGTCGGAAGATGATTAATACTAACCACATTCAGGCGCGGTCCCTGATCACCTTCACCCAAGTCCACAGGAACAGTAGGTTCATCAAAGGAACTATACCGGTCATATACAGGGATCGGGTTCAACTCGCTCGTCGGATCACAGCTCACGTCGCAGATCACACTCAACTTCCGTCCAGGGACAGAGAGGGACTCTCTAGTGACGAACGGGGGGATCCGCGTGCCCGCGGGGAGATAGATGCAGTTGATGAAGATGTCTGCGTCGTTGATCTCGGGGTATGGTCCGTCACCTCGGGCTGAAGTCTCTGCGATATCCCACTGGATGATATGTGAGTCGGGGAGACCAGCTTGCTGACAGAAATTAACAGCTCCAGTCCCGCAGCGACCTCGCGCGCCGATTATGAGTACTCGCGGCTTGCGCTGCTCCTGCTGCTGCGAAGCAGATTCCACACCCGTCTTCACAGCATCAACAACATCCCCCGCAGACTCAAAGACAGGAATAGCCCCCAAAGCACCACCACCACCGCCAGGACCAGTGGTCTGATGAGCCCACGCCATCAGCGCCACAGCCGCCCCCGCATATCCAGCATGATATCCGAACGCAGCGACCCGACGGTTATTCTCATCGGTGAGATACTCGATGTCGTACAGGAGACCGCCATCGGGGTTGAACCAGGAGATGTAGTTTATCCAGCCTGGTTGGGCTTTGTAGCAGTGGCCGAAGTGGATATGTGTGTGGTAGTCGGGTACTATACATCGATTAATCAGTTAGTCGTTGACACTTCCTGGTTATGTAGGAAGGAGGCAACGGTGGGAGAAAAGGGGAGGCATACCACCATCATCAGACAACTCCTTCAACCCCAATATAATATACTCCTTCGGAGCTTTTTCCCATGTTCCAGTCGGGACGAGGGTAGCGCCGATGGCTTCGAATTCCTCGTCGCGATAGCACCGGGCCGGGCTGCGCTCGACTAGGATGTTGTAGCCGTCGTCGAGGAGGGTTTTGGCGGTTGTGGGGGTTACTATTCATCTTCTTGTTAATTGCTCTGTTTGATGGGGGATGGGGATGGGATTGAGGGGGCTTACGCGCGGAACGACACTCGACAGCTTTGGTTTCGGCGCGGAGGAGGATGGTTGTTGGGGACATTATGAATTGCGTAGATGGATTTCTTAGAGTAATTGGTGTTTTGGGGGATATTGTGGATGAGTTGATTATGGACAGTGGTGTTGGTACTTATTGTAGGGTTGGAATATGACTCACAGCCCTCTTCGCTGGTTCTCCCAATATCAACCATTCACATCACCTGCAGGGTTTATGTTCCGATCAAATGGCATAATTTCTTATTCATGAGGGGGGACATTGGTTATGTTTATGGTAATTCCACTTCTCAGCTTACTCTTAGGATCAAGGGGGTTTGATAGGTTGATTATGGTTATTTTGCTTCTGTTAATTCCCTGGAGTTGAAGGGACTTGGGGAGATACGGCGTCAGATTCATTAGTCTAGGAATAGAATACAAACAACGAGAGTATCACGTAGAGACCGTATAGTCGAAATCTCGCGAAATAGCGGACAATTCGATTTCTGGAAACACGAGAGAAAATCCAAGCGCTTCAATGCCCTAAGTCACACGTAAGAAAATAGGACACATTAACATCCACCATACAATCACAAAGCGCAACCATGGATGACATTTACCGTTGTTGTTGATGCTTAGCTTGATTTTATTTAATGCCAATAATATGAATGATTAGGGTTGCTTCTAACTGGCATGCAGGTCTAACCATGGCGGCAGCAAGACGCCCAAAGCTCTTTGCAACACTATAGCGAAACCGAGCCCTAGTGCTTTGCAACCTTTCTTTATTGACTTCCTTCAAGTAAAAAAACAGGAAAAGATAAATGACGACAATCCTCAAAGGACAGTCCCAGTTCCCGTGCATTTCTATATCGAGCTTCGACGCTGACTCGTGGATGCTTGATTAACGTGGTGACAAAGAACGAAATCCCGTGTTCATCATCGTCAAGACCTCCGCGAGACAGAGAGATCCTAGAAGGATGGAACAGGTAGAGGAGGGAGGGGGTTATCGAGATTAGGGCTATACTCACCTGAGATGAGCGACGCAATCTTGGCTCCTCGAAAGAAGGCTCTTCTCCTTATGGATACACCTTCAATCACCAACCCAGCTCTTGCCCCAGTATTCGAACGAAAAAATAAAAATAAAAAAAATAAACACTTCCAACTCCCCCCACCCCTCAACACCAACAAAGCCATCATCCTCCAAGTCCTACCCAACCACTACCTACTAAGACGGGAACTTTGGCGGCCGTATACAGTAACATCGACCAAGTCACGACCCAGCACAACAATATTCAATCTCACAGTGACTCACGCTGGTACCTTCAGTAGTAGAGTCACTTTTATTAATCATGATGATGGCGTTTCAGCCCTGGAGGTGATAGAGAGTGGATCCAGCACGTTGCCGCGCTGATCAGTAATGACAGAAGAAGGCGAGGATTGCAGCCTTGTGAGCGGTCTACGGCAGGAAAGGTGCCTGTTAGAAGAGAGCTTTACAGTTCAGGGGTCTCAGCTACTGTGGTGGAATTCCACAATCTTTCAGAGTTGTCACACAATTACAAGTTTTCTGATGGAGCTTTTGGAGACCATTGCTGCTGAGACTCGTAGAACCGATTTGAACAACGAGTTACCTTTGACCGATGGGAAAATTAAAAACGAATGATGTTTATCTGGATATTTGGTGTTTATAAGAATGGGTTACACATGCAGACCCTGAAAAAAATTAGAAGCAGACTATTACATCGTGACAAGTTCTGCTGACATAGAAGACAAACCAACCGTAAAACGGCAAAACATAGCAATATGGCTCAAACCAAAAACAACACACAGTCCACACCCGTATTTGAACGCAAAAAAGAAAACCCTCCTACTCCCCCGATCCATCAACGCAACAAAATCACCCGCCCTCCGAATCCTCCACAACCACCGGCTCCTAGTGCGCGAAATATGGAGCGAGCTTAAGCGAACAATCATACAAATACTCACCATCAGGTACAGGAACGACAGCTCCCACCCTTGTGAGTTCCCGGAATACCAAGTACAAAATCACATTTATCAATCACGAAGATGGTATTTCGATTCGAGAGGAGGTAGGTTCGTGGGTTACCACGTTGATTTCTTGGTCTGTGGTACAGCCACAGATTCAAAGAGAAGGAGAAGGAGAAGAAAAACAGAAGCAGTCAGTGACAGGGGAGTGCTCTTATGTGTTAGAAAAGGGTTTCTCGGTTCAAGGGTGTCGTCTGATATGGTGGGTTTCTATGGTCTTCCAGGATCGTCATCTGTGTACGGGTCTGTTGATGGGGATTTTGGAGGCTGTTGCTGCTGCTGTTGAGAAGGGTATTAGGAGAGTGAAGATTGATTGATGTGTGTCGACTTGTTGATGTTTTGCTTAACTCGGGTCACAACTTTGGCTATGGGATATACTGAAGCAAAATGTAGTGTCATATATAGTACTCAAGAGACCATACGTCTAGCCATTCCATCACATAATAATCAAGTATTCAGTTCAATCGAGCATTCCATCGAGCATTCAGGGGCCGTATGGGCGCCCGATCGAGGGAGACATGCCTAGGGCAATAGTCAATCGGCCATCTGTCAGTCAAGCAATCAGGGGGTCCAATTAGGGACACCATAGGAAATTCACAGGATTTGGCTAAGGTGTATTGAGATGAAGATACTACCAAAGAGGAAGGGGTTGGATGAGAGTCGGAGTCAAGTGTCTGGATAGGTCCGGAGCAGTCTAAAATATATTGAAATTCTTTAATTCGACGTTCTCCCAATCCCTCGTATACTCGACAAACTCAATCCGTACTCTTAGGTGTATTGTATTCCAAAAAGCAACGGCACGACGAAGAAAAAAACCGAACTAACAAACAATGTGCTGCTGCATGAATGCATGCAAGATGTATCATATAGAATTAAGAGAAAGAAACAATCAGCCAAGCCAGCCATAGTCAATCAAACAACCAGTAGCAATCCTATTTTTACAAGCTTCGTTCATCCGTCACATCACAGAGCACCCTTTTCTTGTGTAAAGTCCCAGAGCATCTTGATGAGGTTGTCTGGGAGGGTATATAGGTCCACGTGGAATTCGCCCTCTGCGTGTTATTAGTTTTTCGTCCTTGGGGAATCGGGGGTAGGAAACGCACGCTCAATGTCATTCTTGGTATACGAGTCTGGTGCTTTATTGTCGTGTACCATCTGCACGACCTGGAGAAGGTCATCTTCTCCGAGGCGCTGGAGTCCGTCTGCCAATTTGTCCATGTCGACCTGCACATATATTGTTAGACCGTGAAATCTTGGGGCCAGGGAGGGCGGCGTACATTCTTCTCCATGCGCTTCTTCTTCTTCGACCCCTCGTCCGCTCCCGCCGCGCGCTTCGACTTCATACCATTCTCATCGCCAGGAACCGGTCCTGTTTCGCGGAGGGTCGCCAATAACGCAGGCTTGGGGTTTTTGAACGTCTATCAATCACTCAATTAGTATTGTTCTTGTTTCGCGGGGAGGAAAATCCGAAGACGTACAAGGACATGTTTGGATTCGTAGCGCGGCTGCGCAAAGTTGAGGTCGTGCGTCACGGTATAATCCTTGTCGGCGGTAAGGGTAATTGACAAGTCGAATTCACCCCATCCTTCCTCTGAGATCCGGAATGGGGGGTTTTTGAATACTGTTCAAGTCAGTCAGCTCCTCCAACCCAACTCAACCACCCAAACCAGGGTTTTATTCACGCACCCTGAACAGCTCTATCCCCAAAACTAGGATGCAAGGTGTATGTCACCTTGTCGAAGACGTTGGCGGGAACCAGCTCCCCATGCTCGTTGACTTGGTAGACCTCGATCGACCACGATCGGAGCGGGAATCCTTCGACGCCGGAGTCGCCGTTTCTGTAATCGGATGGAAGTTAGTGTTATTTCATATCATGTATGTCTCGCGTCGCGATTGTTGGGAAGAGGAGGTGAGGAGCAAAGCGCGGTGGAGGTTCGAAGTTGGACGCGCGCGCAAGATGGCGGGGAGAAGCAGATGGAAGTGTGTAGGAGATCCCTCCAACCATGACCCAACAAGGTCAAATATGAGCATAATAACGACATGGAACAATCGCAGGGTGAATAGACTGTAGGTAGGAAGGTGTAGGTAGGTGTAGGTATGCACATACACAATCTGCTGCTCTGTGACCAGCCTAATACCTCTCTTAACCTGAATCCAGAGCAAAAAACAAAGTCATCAGCATCATGCGACAGTAAATCAATATAAAGAGCCATAAGGATTGGTCCTTGGAGGAAAAGAAAGCAGGCAAACAAGGACAAATGAATCACTCACATCAGGCATCTTGCCGATTCAATTAGGACCCGTAAAGCTTTCTGGGCGCGAAAAAGCCGGAATAGAATAAGTCGATAAGAAACTAGTCAAATCCAAGAAAAAACGGTGTAATGTGCGAAATGGGTATGGTTATAGAGAGCTTTTCTCTCTGTTTGCGCGCGCGAATCGGGGATGGTTGAGGCGAGGTTGGAGTGAGCGCCGGCCGGATAAAGGCAGACGCGAGGTTCGCGGTCACGGCCTGCAGAGGGATTGATATCGCAACGGAGGGGGTTATACAAGCAGAGATATTAGTATAGATTTAAATGCAGTTTACAAGTATAGAAGAATAATTGGCCAATGGATAAGACAAGAGACAGACAGAAGACGGAGTGGACGTCGAAAATGGTGGTAAATCATGGATGGGCGGGGACTATTCTGGTAATTCTGGTAGCCGCCTAGTACAATACAATTATTTTCTCGGTACATAATGTATATAATGTGCATGAGCAAACAGTCTATTCAGGAAATCTTGTCGTAGTATGGAGGCATATATTCGAGTGATCAAGTCTATCTACTACCAAATTCCTTCGCGACATACACCAAATACCATCCGATGTTGTCACTCATCTCAAGTTCGTGCATAACTCATATTCATGACGAGAAAACAACTCATCTCTGCTGTCTCGCGCGGGTAGGGGCCGGGTAAGGGGAATTGGAATAAAAGGGAAGAGGGGAATAAGCAACGGGGAAGAACATAGATGTAGGTATGGTGGGAGGGGAAAGGAGGGGGGTATGCTCCAGATCAATCAAAACTCTTCTGAGACGGGGCACAATGAAACGTGATGGTTTGGGAGCATCCAATCATTATATTTCTTTCTTTTTAAGCAAGAGTCTGAATACTGTGCGACTCTACTGAGGAATGGCCTTCTCGTTCTCCGTCCGAGCCTTCTCGAAGGCATCCTTGAACAGGTTGGCGTCTGATACACGTTAGCATAGTTCTCACTTCCTCCAGGCGGATGCAACTTACTCTCACTGTTGGCGAAACGGATAGCCAAAGTAGCAGCCTCGGGCTCACCCTCGCTGACATCTGCGGTTGCGTTCCACACCCAGCTACGGTCACTGCCGACGTTGGGGCTCAACTTCATGTCAGGGACGACTACAAACGTCAGCACACGACCTCTCTTCCTATTACATCCAAGCATAGACTTACTGTAGTGGTTAGCGCAGACCTTGAGGGTCTTGTCACGGCGCATCACCAGGCGGGTCTTGTTGTTCTCGGTGTGCCTCAACAATCTCACGTCACCGGTACCACGCTCCTTCCACTCCTTGCTGATGGGGTCGAATCTGAACAGCTTAGCGCGCATCTTGAAGCTCTGCTCCTCGAGTTCTTCGTTGGTCTTGGTCTCGACTTTCTCGGTGAGGCGGATGACGGGCTCGAAGTGGACTTCGGGGGATTCGGGAGCTTCCTCCTGTTAAGTATAGTATTAGCATATATCCAACCACATATGAAAACAATGATGAACGGGACTGTTCAACTAGCCATAGATATGACTCAGGGGCTGAAGGTCTATCCACCTCCACATCCAACAAACACCCAACACCAAACCCCACAAAATCCACATAATAAAAACAAATAAAAGACATACCTCCTCACCCTCCTTCTGCGCCTTAGCGGAACCAGAAGGCTCATCCTTAGCCTCCTGAGACTCCTCCTCCTGCTTCTTCTCCTTCTTAGGACCACCGCCAAACATAGCGAAAACACTGTCCGTCGTCTTAGGGGCGGCGGGCTTCTCGGTCTCGGGCTTGGACTCTTCGGTAGTGGTGGTGGGCTTCTCCTCCTTCTTCTCCTCAGCAGGAGCAGCGGTGGTGGGGTCGGGCTTCGCGGCGTCAGACATGGTGATGATGGATCGGGTGGAGTATTGTCTGGTTTCTGGTGAGTTTCCGAGATATATTTCGTTGTATTGGAAGACGCAAAAGTACCTTGAAATCAAATATAAAGAGAAAGGAGAAACTGTATGTATGTTGGATGATCACGGAGGCGGGGAGAGGGAGAGGAAAATATGTTTTTGAGGTGGGTAGGTCAGAATGCCCCTCAGTGCCTCAGGCTGCTAGTGCCACCGCTTTGACCCTGTTCGACTTGTACGCAGTAAGACTTTTCCTATTTCAAAGGCTGGGATTGATATGAAATACTAGTCAAAAGAGCAACTATTCGCGGCATTAATACATAAATCGCATTTCCTTCGTGAACCCATAAAGCAAACCAATTCTTAAAAGATACCGTACCACCCAGATCGCCTGTGAACAACCCAAAACAAACAAACAAAAAATAGGAAGAAGAAAGATATCAAAACATCAGAACACGAGAAATCATCGCTGAAGTTTCCCCGAATAATGAGCCTTCCGTCTCATTAACCCCCGAGCACGCTTCTGTGCCTTGCTCAATGCTTCGCTTTTCCGGACATCTTGAAAACGGTCCATCATGGTCTCCAGATCGACCTTCGGTGCCGAAATGCTACTGATTCTACTCCACGTATTGATCACGAGATCCTTCGCCTCCGCGTTGGCCTTACTAGTTTGTTCTTGGAACACTGAGCAGGCTGCCCAAAAGGGTTGGACGGCGTCACGTCGAACAAACTCAGATAGTTGCTTGGATCGCGCGAGGACAGCATTTCTCGTCTCAAGCGACAGATTCTCAAGCGAAAGATGCGTCGATCCACGTATATCATCAACTTCTTGTCGCAGAAGATGTGATCTCTTCACGACATCGCTCATGGCCACTTGAAGATCCGTGTACAATCGATCATATGCTTTCGACAAGCCAGTCTGAGCAGCGTTCAAGTCCCTCACAAGCTCTGTGGAGAGGGTAGACGCTGCTCGTTTCCAGTTTGCAATCTTGAGCCACGGCGTTCCAAAATCGACCTGAGTGGTCTGCTCGAGTGGCGGCTTGGCGATAGTGATGGTCACGTTCACCAACCCGTAGGCATCCTCTCGGTCCAAATTCAGTGAATAGACACCTTCAAATAGCCTAGAGAGCTCGTAAGGAACGGCGTTCCCGTATCTAGTGACACTGACGCCGAACTTTGGTTGCTTCTTTGTGGAAAACCGGTGTGGTGGCTTCACGATAACATGAGAATCCCCGATCACCTGAAGCTCGAACCTGTCCGGTTTTCCTTGTTTAACTGTTGGTGAGAGCGCGATACCCATTAATTCCTCAAGCTGGGTACTGCATTCGTATTGATTTCTCAGTGACTGAACTTCGCCGGCCGACGAATGCCTTACGGAGAGTGAATTCTGTCCCAAGGTCTCGACAGAAATGATATTTTTGTTGGAGATGCTGCTGGAGGGCGATGCAATCTCAGAAAGATCAGACCGCGAGAAGAATTGAGAAAGGTAGACAAAAGCAGCGCTCACGACCGTATATCCTAGGGTAATAGCAATGGCGGAGATGGTCGTGATAGCAAGTAGACGTAAGGAGGGGGACAAGTCTTGAACGTGGTCCGAGTATTTTGAATAGTCAAAGTGCGGAATATATTTCGTACACCTCTTGATGTCGAAGGAGAAAGGCTTCATTGTAGAGGGTTTGGGAGCTTTTGCCGTGACCTTGGTAACTTGCTTAGGATAAAGATTGGCCAACGAAGCCAGGTTTCTGTTAAGTTGGCCGGGAGTAATGCTTTCAAAAGTCGGCAAGTCAATAGGATACCGCCGTAGGACCGTGGGCTCCGCACCAAGAGAATGGCGAGACTCCAGGCACATATGGAGGCTGTGGCGGTTGACAGGTACCAACTCAGTAGTCATTTCCCACAGCGGCTTCTCCGAGATCACCATGGCAGGAACTCCGTGTCTCTCCATGAAGGTACGGGCTTGATGCTGGGTCACCACTGCGACAGCATCATCCATGCTCGATACGAAAAAGATGGCTACATCTGGTAGCGTCCAATCCGAAGAAGATGAGAGGCAGTATTCGCTTCCGGTCCAGTACGAAGTGCACGACGGACGGTTCTTGAACTTGAGACTCACGGTGCTGGGTTTGCCAGATCGCGGATCAGACGAGGCTTCCAAGCATTCGTCGACAATAAGCTGCACATGAATTGGAAGCAGTTCCGCGAAATTAGGTACGGCATCTGCCCCAAAGGACGTCGGAATAACATGGTATCTGGATGACTCGGCAGAGCTACTCTCATAGCTGCTGCACGAACTAGACACCAGAACGTCACCGATTTTGTCGAGGACTATGGTCCGAAAATCCGGGTTCCCAATATAAAGCACACGGAAAGGCTGATCGACGCCCAAGCTGTGCTTCGTCATGGTCTGTTGAACCGTGGCCGTGAGGAGCGCATTCTGCTGATTGGGAGGCAGCTGCTCCTTCAAACGGGAAGCCTCAACCCCCTCAAAAATCTGAACAGTATGCTTGAGCTCTACCTGCTCCACCTCGGGCCACTTGTCTGGCTCAATGAACTCAATGGAGTCAGTGGATTGATGGAAGGCAGCCTTCGTAGTAAGACCACTGTCCCCGATATCACCACCAAAGCGATGATAGAGGGCAGGGAGCTCCTGAGATTCAGAGACGCTTCTGCCATCATATCCCCCATCGTCGCCACTGTTATCTGCCTCCTCATCATTATCTTCTTCCTCTGATCTCTCCTCATCGTCGTCCTCGTGGTCCTCGTAGTTCTCACCAACCTCGCTTTGGTCGTCGAGGCTGGCAACATCGTCAGCACTGGTTTGATCGATCAAGGAGCCGATGTCCGTCTGCTCAGAGCGCGTACCATCCTCCGAGTGAGCATCAGAGATACTCAGCGTAGCCCAGCTCTCACTCAGTGGTCTGGAGGACGAGTGCTCTGAGGGAGGTGCTGACGTCATAATTGTCGGTCGTGAGCGGGACAGCCACTCCTCGACAGAAGCGCTCAGAGGAGGGAAAGTCGGATATTGTAGGCGTGGAGCTGTCAGGGAACTGTTGGAAGGCCGCCTGGAGGGAGGCTTGGGAGAGTCAGCCATATTTGCCAGAGGAGAGGATCTTGTCATAGACTGGCAGTAAAAGGCCAGCCCAAAAAGGGAAAAAAGGACAGAAAAAGACAAAACGAAGAGTCAAGTATGAGAACGTGGGGAAGGGAGGGGCAGGAGTAGAGGAGGAGTGAGCGTTGCTTTTCTGGTGGACCGTGGGAGATACTGGAAATAGAAAAAAAAGGGAAAGACGATAATGTAGAGGTTAGTGGGAAGACACCACGATTTGTTAAAACCTTAGGCGATGTGTTTCTGAGCTCTGCCTGAGGGTGTAATCGTGCCCAAAACCAGCTTATTTCTTGTATGGGAAGAGGAGGGGAGGAGAGACGCCGGACCGAAGCGGGACAGTGAGGTCAGGTGCTTTCCTTGGGTTCGAATACAGCAGAACACCAACAGAAAAATATGGACAATACTTACAAATATAATTATTCTGGAGTTGGTCGCGAAGAAAGGAAAGAAGGGAAGAGAAAGAGAGAGAGAGAGAGACAATCAGAAGCAGGAACGGTCACGACTTATAAGCAAAGCAAGGACAAGATGTTCTGCAGTAGTTGTATGTATCGTGACCAGGCGGGGCACCTGAATTCCTGGCGTCAGCAGGGATGTTGTCCTAGCTCCCTATAGTTATCTATCTTTTCTACAAATACTACTGCCAGTTTGACTCCCAACGCAGCGCAAACAAATTCCGCCATCAACAGCAGCATTATTGTAACTCTTGTTATTGCTTCATCATGTGTTGTTCTCCAAGAATGATGCGATAAGCATGATAACGCTAGCCTTCAACAGGCTAGACTTTCTGATCGGCCCACTACTTGGCCCACTGTCGCTGTACTCTAATATTACCTCTTTGGGAATTGCTTACTCCCGACTTTAAAAAAACGATTCTTCAGTTAAACATCCTCTAGTCTATGATTATTCAGTAATACATCTTTGCATGACTTATTATTGCATCTTTATGAACAGCAATGCTTGACCTGCTATTTGCGTTCCGGAGGCAGGGCATTAGAAGCGATTAGAAGGCAGAAAAGAAGGGAAAGGAACAGGTAGAGCGAAGAGGGGAAAGGGAGAAGAGATATGTACAATCCATAAGATATGCCGAAAAAGGACAAATAAGGAACGGAAGACACAGGGAAGAGATGGGTCTTCAAAGGGCGGGGGAGAAAGCAAGATCCAGCCACAAGACATTGCTTTGATCCATCTGCGGAATCTCATTGTCACAGCAAGCTGGCGAGTGGTGCAGTGAACCGTTTAACCATTCGAATGGCCAACTCGGACAGTGTGTCACAAACGGCTGCGAGCTTCTTTGAGAGAGGCAGGCGGATGAGGACTCTCGACCTGATGCGAGTCCCTGATCGTGGTTGGAGCTCCTCCACACTCATTCCTTTTCTGCGTCTTCTCCCCCTTCATCACAAGTGAAAAATAAAAGAAAAGGTAGAAGGTCGAAAGGGACGTGAAAAGTGTAATCCAAAACGAGACGTACAAGGCACGCTAGATGAATTTGCAAATATGGATGGAATAGCCACACCTGTCTTCCAAACCGTCAAGATCCGTAAAACGCCGTCCAGAAGACCACAGGCAACGTAACATGCAGACCCAAGCAAAACAACTCCCAAGGGCGACACCCAAATAATGCTCGGAAGGTTCAGTATAGGGCAGAGGAGAATAAGGTGCGTCAAAGAAAAAAGATGATACAAGAACAACGCGTTGAAATAGACAAAAAGAATTAGGGAGACGCATAGCCTCCAGCGACTTCTACCCATTCGGCGAAACAGCTGCCCTGTTTCCCTTCCACATCAACAATGTCCGTGTCACATCTGCACCGACAGCCCACACCGTTTTCCTTTACAGGGTCCGGATTCGCCCAGTATTCATCTTCTTCAATGCGTTCCTTTTCATCCTCCGTGGTCTTTTCCAGCCATGGGATCCGCGGCAATTGTCGTGCAGGGGCATTGGCAGGGCAGTGTTGGATCGTAGTGTGACGATAACCGATATCCCGGAAATAATGAATATCGCTAGGGGCAAGAAGAGCACCGGCAGCTAGCGAATGAATAGGCGCATCGCCCCACTGTAGAAAGACGTTAGTAAGAAGCAAGGGCCACTGAAGTAACTGGAATACGCACTCTTTCTGTCCAAAAGCCTCCGCTCCTGTCCATCATTTCAAAGAAATCTTCATACTCCTTGCTACGGAACCAGTCCAGACGCGCAATTTCGAAGTTACTCCAGAAATGGCACATGTTATAAGATTCGCCTTCCATGGCTTCGGGGTCAACCTCAGGTACGGTGTTGGCGCCAGGTTCGTTCTGCAGGATCTCTTCGGGGAGTCTGTCCTTCTTGTCCTCTTCCGGCGGGGTTTCTTCTTCTTTCGGCGGATTCTCGAGGAACATTTCCCAGAGACCCTTCGATTTGAGGTTGTTGGTGCGTTTGTATGCGGCGGCATAACGGAAGATATTCGGGACCGTCTCGCGAAGTTCCTTGACGGCAATGGTGAACCCGTACGTTTTGTTCGCTTCGGCCATCTTGACGAAAGGATCACTGATTCATGTGTAAGTTGGAGGGATATAGCAGTAAAACCAAAGCAGACACTTACTAGGTAATGTCGCAGAAGTACTTGATCTCGGGCTCCAGACGCCAGTACCATTCATACTTCAGAAGAAGGGGATGCTTGTAGAAAAAGCTGCACATAATCCGGGTCAGTCGTCGCGCAACGCAAGAATCGGAGGTAATACTCACCCAGAGTAGAATCGGCACATGTGGTGGTAACTCTCCATTCCACCATACATAATTGCAGCATCGCCCTGCTTTCTGATGCCTTCCTTTGCGACTTCGTGGTCAACCCAATCGGGGTAGCCCCACATGGAGCTATCAATCTTGCCAAATTCCACCGACGAACTGGAGTAGTTCTTGACAGTATCTTTGAAGGTATCGTCGAAGTCGCCATCGTTCAGGAATACGTAGGGATAGTTGTACCAGCGATTGAAGTGTCTCTCGATCGATTTCATGGATTCAATAACACCATCCAGCTCCTTGTTCCGCGCGAGGACGACGAAGGCAGCATTTGCCCGAGGGCCGTCTGTTTCGACGGGGAGACAACCAGTGGCGAAAACCTTGTCATGCTGCTCACTGATCTTCCTGTATCATGGAAATAAGTGATTAGTTACACCGAAGATCCCTACACGTAGCCAAGTCGAAGGGGTGAAGAACGAACCTGATGGATGGTGGTGTGCCAGCTGGTATTAAGATGCCCCCAGGGGAGGAAGGATGACGAACAAAAAGAAGTAGAATAAGAATTATTACAAGGCATGGGAATAATAAGACAAAGCCCAGGGGGATCGAGATCGACGAGTTGCCCTTCAGTCGTATTCTCCGACGGAAAAAAGCGAACCTGGGGTATACGCCGCCCTTTTCATTGGGAACATCATCTAGGGGCAGGCTGGGCGAGGAGGGTAACTGTTTCGCGATCCGCTGAATGAAACTCATGGTGCAAGGTGTTCAACGCCACGGTGACTCCAGCCCGGACGACGAGAAGACCGATTCGTAGGTCTCAAAAGAGGTAGCGGGATGAATATAACGGTATAATCGATGCCAGTCGGAATCGAGAGAACAGGGTTCTGAGAATGGAACGGACGGTCCACACGCGAAATGACAGGAAATAAGGCTGGTCTTTCTTCCTCGTATACCGACCGCGAGAGCACCCCAAACCGCGAATTAAAATAGATGTAGACGGAAAGAAGAATGAAATGCAGAACGAGTGGCCGGAGGAAAGCCTCCTATTCTTTTTTCCTTTACTCCCCAACTCTTACTTTCTAAGTCCTTCTCGATCGGCCAGAGAGACGGGTGGGGGAGGCGTTGACAGCAACGCAGATGACCGAGATCCTTGAACGACGATGTCGATGGTAGAGAAACAATCGACAGGATCATCAATGGAGGTGAAAAAGTGAAAAGGTAAGTGAGGAAGTGTGGGAAAAAAGGGAAAAAGAAGGAGGGAGTCGCGGAGGGAAACCGATGCGAAGTTGGTGAGGTGGAAGGATACATACAAAGTGGTTACGGTAATATAATAGCGCCCTTTGGGGGAGGGAAACGGGGAAGGTTCTGCCAAGCCCAGGGAGTCGCAAGCAGTGGGCGCTCGTGGTCCGGATTGGTCTAGGGCTTGGGCGGTGGGCTGCGGCAGTCGTGCTTATTATACACTTGGTATGAGACGGTCACCATACCGTATTTTACCAGAAGTCGAGGCTCTTGACGGAGTGCACATCAATGGCGCATAACATACCAGAAGAGTTCTATCTGTCGTGTTGTTAGTTGACGAGGTAGAAGTTTTTGTATCTAGGCGTATTCTAGAGCCATCTGAAATAACATGGCGTAGATCGGAATGATCTATCATGCCATCTCACCGCTGTCATCGCCAACCAAGTCTACATAAGCCCATGCTGTACCTACATATCTTACCAATCCAGAAGCTTGACCTGCAGGCACGGCATGTTTACGGAGTACGGAGTACGTAGTAGAGTGCTGACTCTTGTGCTCTCTTCTATTTGTACTTGTAGACCGACTGACGAGTGGCCCCAGATATGATCTCGTTTCAGATCTCTTGTTCTATTTATGTCCGTCCGGGTATGCCTGGTTTGGCCCCAGAAAACCTTGGTTCTTCGCTGATGCAACGATGGTCTGTATTCATCGGAACGGGATAGCTTGGATTCAAGGATATTAACGGACTAAAATATCTATAATATACAGCTATATAGTAATATTGACATGGACCAAGATAAGATTCGCATAGTCCAGCGCACCTTTACGGAGTAAACTCATAGGGCCATTAATTATGATCGCGAGTTATGCAGACTCGGCCCGAGTGGAGTTTTACCGTATTGAATGTACGTAATTGAATTACCATGACGGTATCTAACCAAGAACCCTGAAATTAATACCAAAAAAAAAGGCCCCACACGTGACCCCGGCAAGGTGGCCTCTAGAGAATGATACGAGATTATTTGTACGGAGTACGGAAGGAAGATAGTATGGCAGACACTGAACTATGCATCGGTTAAAGTACAAGTGCAGAGTGCAGTCCATGCGATTCACCTGCCTACTTGGTTGTCAGGACGTCAAGCTTCCGACCATTGAGTGCTAAAGTAGGGATGTGGAGAGACATACTAGAAATAGTAGTCCTAAGGACAGTATGGGATGCCCCTAGAACTTCAGAATAGTAGGTTTACGGAGCATATGGAGCGAAATAAAGTTGTATGTCGGGCTTTTTTATTTTATGCACAGAGCATAGGGTAGTATGTGAAGTTTTCTGCAATGAATTATTCCAGCCTGCCATATCACTTGTGACACTCGATCTTGCATACTTGATGTCGGAAAGCGTTGTTGGGGCGGTAGATTATAACGTCTTCTGCGATCATATACGGGGCAGTACTATCACGACAGGAGGAACGACCCGACCATATCTAAGAAATGATCATCAATCCCAGACACGATGACACCTTAGTAGAAGTACTAAAAAGGGGGTACTGCAAGTCATAATCAAAACTTTCTCCAAGGGACACACGCCCTTTTTTCTAATGTAGTAAGAGCAGTAACTCTTAGTAGTAAGTCTATAGTTCAACCGTTCGAGGGGCATTAATATTCTCAAATCATGAACGACTCATCCTATCTACAGAATTGAAATTTTCTGACTCTTTGTCCGGCTCCTTTTTTTTTTTTTCTTTTTTTTTTTTTTTTCTCTCTCTCTCTCCTTGTTCCTTGTTCCTTGGTCCTTATTAGGGCACTGGTTCCTACTTTTCCCTTTCCGCCCAAATTCGGCCCCCGTTCTCGGTCATCCGCCCTCTTCCATCTTCTCCAATTCAACCTCATCTCTACACTGCCGCCTCACCAACACTCGTGATCATTCTCTATAGTGCTTATATTCTGTCATCTGCTTTAGCCTTGCAAGTCAGCCTCAAACTTACCTACGATATCACTGCGGATATATATGGGGGCTTTCCTCTCGTCCTGCTCCGTCCTCCCTCCGTTCTCCGACTCCCGCTAGAACTATTCGGCCCCTGCTGCATAGTACGACTGCGATCCTACCACCACGATACAACTTCTACGCTCGACCAACTAGCACTACTCACTGCGCTCTATAAATCTTCTCTATATTTAAGGAAACCAAAGAAAAAAATCTCCTTGCGCGGAAATGGATCGACTTGTGACCTCCGTCCCGGCGCTTTCGGAGGGGCACCCCGGGAATGCGAAGCCCTCCAACGATACCAAATTGCAGCCCCTTCATCTTGCCTCACCTTTGCGCAACGGTGAGATTGGATTTGGTACCATTTCTCCCATCGAGAACGGTAGTTTCGCCTTCGACCGGGTCATCAAGACCGGTAAAGTGCACCGTCGCATCAAACACAAGCGCGTAAGTACTCATTACATTCCTCATATGGTTTTTTTGACTAATAACATCTTGTATAGGCGTTCAAAGCTACATGGAAATCCGGACACCTTGTCCTTCGACCAAATCTCCTCTCGGTCTACAAAGATGAAGAAGCAACCAGACTAAAGCTTTCCATCACTTTGTCCGAAGTCACGGCCGTTGCACCCTTCAAGTCTCCCCGTTCGAAACGCCAACATCTTTTCGCTGTCTACTGCCCCACGGGAAACTATCGTTTTCAGGCCGAGTCGCAAAAGGATGCAGAGGACTGGATTCAGCGCATCCGCTCCGAAACCCGTCTGGATGAGGAAGAAGCAGCGTTCTTAGCTCTGGCGAAGAAGAAGAAATCACAAAAGTCGGCTTTGAAGCCATCTGGCGACGACTCCACGTCTACTTCATCCAGACCCAGCTCACCTGAGTTGGGTGCGTCCCTTTCTCCCAACAGCCAAGCCAGACACTTCGCTTACCCTCTGGATTTCTCGGCCAATGACATGACCTCGGAATGGTCAGATGGCCCCTCGAACAACACCAACCTCCGTCCCAAACGTTCCGCCAATAATCTCTCATCTGCTCAGAAAGGCGGACAACCGCAACCGCAACCGCAACCGCAACCGCCACTGCCACTGCCACTGCCACTGCCACGCGAAGGAAACCGAAATGCGGATGTGGGTATCCTTCGGGATCCGGAAAGAGTGCTTTGCAACGGTTATCTTCAGTGTCTACGAACCAAAGGAGGTGTACGGACATGGAAACGATACTGGGTTGTCTTGCGCCCCAAGAGTCTTGGCTTCTACAAAAACGAAAAGGTAAGCTCTCTTCAATGTTTTCCTTCTCGAAAAAAAAAAAAAAAAAAACGTACACTAAACGATCCCCAGGAATATTGCGCAGTCAAAGTCATCCCAATGTCCCAAGTGATCGAAGCAGCCGAAATTGAACCCGTGTCCCGGTCAAAAAACTTCTGCCTTCAAGTCATTGCCGAAGAAAAGTCATACCAGCTATGTACTCCTGACGAAGAATCGCTCGCCAAATGGCTGGGTGGACTGAAGAGCATTATCATTGCCCGCAAGAAATTGGAGGCCTCAGCCTCTGCCACCGCCTAATTTAATCCTAACCATCCTTGTCCTTGTTTCCTTTACTTTGCCGTTACTGCTTCTTGTGTGTATTATATACCATATTTCTTTGGTTTATTATTGACCCGTCATGTTGACATGACCATGACCAGGTCAGGGTTGGGATCTGGAGTTATATATCATCCTTTTGGTCTCTTTTGGTCGTTTGGATATCTTGGATATGGTGTATGGCCGGCTGGCGTAATTTGGACAACCAACACAGCAAGCTGGGTCTTCTGTCTTCCATTCGTTATCGTCACTTGTTTTCTTTTTTATTCTTCTTGCCGTTGTATTAATTTTCTAATTATTCTGGAATCGGCCTGGTCTATTCTGACTACATATAATTTATAGATCAATCAATGAGAGCATATTCTAGCTAGCTGCAGGATCAATAACCTAGAGTCTTCGCTGTCGGCCATGTCACATGACCATGAGATAACCCGTCTCATCCTTCGATCTGCTGCCAATGGCAACTACACCGTCCACCATCCGCAATACAATCAACAACTCCGGAGTATTTCTCTACAGGTATTTGGCCAGAACCATGGCTAACCCAATCAGTGACAGCAGAAAACGCCAAATGCAATCATAATGGTCCCGATGGTGGGTAATCCAGGAACGACGCCAAATCAACGGCCTCCACTGTCGACCCGCTGCTCGTTGCCGACCACCCGGCGGACTATGATACAAGACTATGAGCGTTATTATGGAGTTATTTGAAGTCTCTGCGGCCGATTACGCAGCAGGAAATGGCAGATCTTATTATCAATCGGCCATGCTTTTCTTTTTCTGGCTGCAAGAGGCCTCTCTTCTCTTATCCTGAATCTTGACCGTATCTTCTGCTGTTCACGGTCTTGACATTGTCTGGAACATCGGTCTGCTGGGTTGTCGGCATAATACCAATTGGTTTCTGTGGTGGAGGAAGTAAGAGAGACAGACCAGGAAACCATGGAGAACAATCTCGGGCGGGCGAGAACGAGGGTAAGCCAACCAAAACGATAAACAGAAAAGATGAGCTAACATTTAGTCAGTCTGCAGCAGCAGAAACCGAACCTCCAACCTCCCCTACGAATGCCTCCCGAGACCGAGCGACCTCATTTTCGAGAAGGGAAACGCAGGCACAAGATGGCCCGGGCATCCGCCGGCGGAGCTCGGCCGCCTCGAGAGTATCCAGACTATCCGGCCCCTCCATTGGCGAGGGGTCGCAAGGGAACTTCACACTGGCTGGCCCAACGGAAACTCCCCAATTGCGTGCTGCCCAGGAACCCTTTGTGCATCCTGGTTACACTGATCTCAACCCGTCCTATGAGCAAGCCGCCAACACCAAGCCGGTATGGAGTTTGGCCAAACCGCTGCCGCGTGTGGTGCGGTCGGGGATGGTGCCAACAAAGGATGAGTTGCGAGACTCTCTGCAAAATGCTGAGCGGCCAGCCCAGAACTCGCAGGAGCTTGGGCTAGACGTTGACCCCAATGACCTCGAACAGGGACAGATTGATCCATCTGCTGATCCACGGAAGATGGCGGCTCAGGTGGAGGATGCCCGATTGCAGCGTGAGGCCAATTTCATGAATAAAGTCCTGAGCGGTGGTGACGGCACCTCCGCACGGCCACCGTCCGGCCTGTCGCGCATGTCGTCGGTCCGCCGGCGACGCTCTTCGGTTGGGGGCGTGCCTCCAGATCAGGTAATTCCGGAAGACGAGGAGCAGGAATCCCCGACGGACAGTGAGCCCAAGATTCCGCAGCATCCGAGTGATGAACCGCTGCAGACAGTACCCGAAGAACCCGAAGATCACGACGAAAAGTTTGAATTCCCAATCCTTGACGACACGCACCCGGATGACCTGCACCCATTGGTCCAAGACCTGGTCGAAGATGAAGTGCACAACAACCACACGACCTGGTCAGTCATCCGCACGCACCACCGCGAAGCCCTGGCAGAGGCCCTGGCAGTCTACATCCAACTCACCATCGCCTTCTGCGCCGACCTAGGCGTCACCATCGCCAACAACGGCAACCCCAACACCACACAATGGGCCTGGGGCTTCGCAACCATGATAGGAATCTATATCTCAGGAGGCGTCTCGGGCGCACACCTCAACCCCGCCGTCACCGCGATGCTCTGGTTCTACCGCGGCTTCCCGAAGCGCAAAATGCCCGAATACTTCACAGCCCAGTTCCTAGGCGCTTTCTGCGCAGCCTTCACAGCCTACGGCCTCTACTACCAGTCCATCCACCAATACCACATCACAAACCTCGACAATACGGGCATCATCAACAGCTTCGTATCAAGCCAGCGTGAAACCTGGATCGACTCCTGCTCGGCCTTCTTCACCGAATTCCTCGGAACAGCCTTCCTAGCAGCTACCATCCTAGCTCTGGGCGATGACCAGAACGCGCCTCCAGGCGCAGGCATGAACTCGCTTATCATCGGGCTAGTCATTACCTGTCTCTGCTTCGCATTCAGCTATCCGACCGGCGCAGCACTGAACCCGTCGCGAGACTTCGGGCCGCGACTCGCACTGCTTGCACTGGGGTACGGTGGCGATTTGTTCCGGAATCCATACTGGTTCTACGGGCCGTGGGCGGGTGCGGTTAGTGGTGCGTTTGCTGGGGGGCTCTTGTATGATTTCTTTATCTTTGAGGGTGGGGAGTCGCCGGTTAATTACCCGTTGGAGAGGACGCAGAGGGCTATGAGGAAGAGTCGGATGAAGTGGGAGAGAAGGCTTCATTTGACGAAGCAGGCGTAGTGGTAACTATGGCATTTGCCAATGTTGTAGATATGTCTGCGTATGTATATACTAGCGTAGGGAGGACATTTTGTGTACCTTCAAGTGGGCATGAAATTGATAAAAATGACCCACATACTGCCTTATGAATACCCAGTCTAATGACAGTCTAACAATATACAAAGAAAGGACCCCAACCCATAATCTATAGATATATACCTATCACCTCTCCTCCCCAGGAACAACCCTATACTCCCCCGTCTCACCCTCCGATGCCAATGCAGATGCAGATACAGATGCAGAAACCTCCTCTTCCACCGGCCGACTCTCATGATTCACAACCAAAAACGACAAGAAGACAATAAGAGCTCCGACCCAGTATAACGGACTCGCGTACTGGTTCTGTAGGACGATTTGGCCGACGAGGGAGAGCGGGATCGTCAGGCTTAGACCGACGGTTACGACGAGGGGTGTTGTGAGGAGCATTGCGTAGGCCCAGACGATGTCGGAGACTAGGGAGGAGACGGAGTTGACCTGTTGCGGTTTAGAATGGGATATTCGAAAGGGAATGGACGTGAAATACCAGTAAGATAGTCCACACGCGATTTGTAGGCGGGAGCTCGAATTTCTCCAGTCCCGTAAAATGCATAATGATAAACCCCGGCCAGATAAGAACCATATTGATGAACCCCACCAGACCAAAAAACAACAGCATGTTCACCCGCGACTCGTCGCCGCACTGCCTCTTCATCACGATTGTGTACACGCCGTACATGATCGCGCTGAAAGCTGCCATGGCGTCGCCTAGGGCGATCTCCGCGGAGCTCTTGCGTGGGAATGAGCCGTTGTTTTCGCCATCGTCTGGGGCAGGTGCGTCGGAGGTGGATAGGTCGACGCGGGAGATCAGGATGATGCCCAGGAGGGAGGCGAGGACGCCGAGGAATTTGCGGAGGGTAAATTTTTCGACGCGGAGGGCGGCACCGAAGATCATTGTCCAGACGGCTGCTTGTGTTATGAGGAGGCTCATATCTGCATCACAGAGACGAGAACTTACCACTGGTTGACGTGAGAATCGTAGTGCTTCCTACGCTTGTGTGTTGCAGACATGCCATCGCGAAGTAATTCGCCTATATCTCCAGGTCAGATCGAGTCTCTATTGACTCGAATCGGCGCAATACTCACAAGAAACTATAACCATGTTAGCCAGCATCCCATCAAGTATCCTCAAACACACTCACCCATAGAATACAAAAATGCAAACTAAGCTTCGCCGTCTCCCTCAACCCCAACTTCCCCGACTCGTATTGTTCCACCACAACCCCTCTTTGCGTCCCGAAATCCGTAGCCCGAACATCATCCTCACCATCAGCCGTGGCCGCGCGATGGTAAAATATGGCCTGATCCTGTTCCTCGGCCTGCAGCGGGTCGCCCGAATCGAGGTGCTCTAGTAGGCTCTTCAAGGACGTGATCTGGGAGAGTTTGTTGAGGCGCCATAGTTTGAAAACTCGTGCGAGGAGGATCCCGAGGAGGGGGAGGTTGAGGCAGGAGGTGTTGAGGTAGGTTAGGAAGAAAGGTTTCGAGTAGGTGTTGTCGGCGAAGATGGTCTGCGCAGGATTGTCAGCCTAGCTCTGTATGCCCGCGATAAAGGATCAAATATGGACAGAATGGGAGGGAGGATAATTACACTAGCTAAGAAATTCGAGGCCGTCCATAGCACGACCACTACTAAGAGTAGCGAGATCCCGAGGGACCGTCTCGCGGTACCCCCTAACCGCGCGCCATTCGCGGCGCTCATGGGTCTGATTGTATGCTGCTCGAGAGGTGATTCACTGGATAGTAATGGTTGCTGCTGCGACGGCGAAATCGGAGGGATGTCAGTCATTCTACTCCACGCAGAGTGGTGTTTCGATCTTCAGCTCCGATGGTTTGCGGAAGGTGGGCCAGCTGATAAGAGCATGCGGATCGGATCACATGAGGATGGCCAGTATGTGAACAAGGCACAGGACAGTATTCAGTTGATTTTCTCTATTGCTGGCAAATATTGAGCAAAGTCTCGACTATGAAGCGAGAGACGTGGTTTACGGTGTGAGAGAAATGATGGAAGATGGACGATTGATGATGCCAAGCCATCACGACAGCAGCAATGCAAGGAGACATTGATACATCGTCAAGATACTATGGATGATCTCAGGTAATCTCATGCAGTAGTATTCCAAACTCCTAATAACACAGTGATAAACACGCTGCCGTTAAGGAAAGACTAGAGAGCCGAAGTATCCAACTATCTTGAATATCCCCGAGCCCTCATATGAAGAGCAGAAGCAACAAAACACTCTACAAGTCCGGACGCGCAAAGAAACATCAATAAGCCATTAATAATAACAAGAAAATCGTCGGAGGGTCATCAGTAGGGTATCAACAGGCACAGCCATCGCGCTCATTGTCAAGGTGGATATTGATCGGGTCGCTGAATTCACCATTGAATTCTTCTGCTTCCTCTTGCGCAAGAGCACTCCTGGCGATGACTGGAGATATGTTAGCGATGTGTAGTTAAAATATTTGAGTAATTGACTCACCCTCGAAAGCTTGTTCGACATTTAGAGCCTCCTTGGCACTCGTCTCGAAGTAGGGAATGTTGCCCTTCGATTGAGAAAAGGTCATGGCCCGTTTCGAGGAGATCATTCGTTTATTCTCCTCTACATCGACCTTGTTACCGACCACGACCTACAACCTGTAAGTAGCTGCAGACAACCAGGGTGTAACAGGCAACATACAAAAGGAAAACTCTCCGGATCTCGAGGGCTTGCCTGGATAAGGAATTCATCCCTCCAGCTGTCGAGGGCCTCGAAACTCTTGGAATTGTTCACGTCGTAAACCAAAACGCAGCAGTCGGCTCCCCGATAAAACGCAACGCCCAGAGATTGAAACCGTTCTTGACCTGCAGTATCCCAGATCTATTCGAAATCGATGTTAGCGACCCTATTTCCTTTCCCGGTCGGTCGGTCAGGGAACCTGCCTGCATCGTAACCAGTCGGTCGTCCACTAAAACCTCCTTTGTCAGAAAATCGGCCCCAATTGTCGCCTTGTAGCTAGCACTAAATTTCTTGTTGACCTGCAGGACGTAGATACGTGGTTAGCGGGATGGATCGGGCGCTCGATGCTGTCGGATGGTGGATATCACGCACATATTGGTTCATCAAACTCGTTTTACCGACACCACTGTCGCCGAGGATTATCACCTAGAAAATGCAGCATTTATGTCAGCGATACCGATATATTCACATTGTTACGCCGCCCGTATCAACCGTACCTTCAATAAGACCTTCTTCCGTGACGACATGGCGGTAGGTGAGTGGGGAAGACTGGTGTATATACGGCGAGAGGTAGGAGAAGGCAATCGTTAGGATGGTAATGAAAAACGAAAACCGCAGTAGTCTCCTAGGGGGAATGAGAAGAGAAAGCACTCTGAGAGGAACTACTCCTGGTAGTGTCGAAATGGACCGAAGGCTGTTGTTTCGGCGTCGGGTGAGGCTCATCGATGATGCACCCAGTCGGGGCGGTGGACCGGGCGGTGTGGAGATTAATGCAACCGTTTATCATGAGTTTATCATCGCTTTGCTGTATTGTGACAGTTGGTTATGGTCGGTTTTGTTGTCATCTTTCTTCCTTCTGGTGTGCTTATTTCACAGTGCTCTCCCCCCTGCTACTGTTGACTATGCAGCCATAAGCCAAAGGCAGGCACTGTCACCCCTCCATTCTAGACGCCCGCGGTCCTTATCATCTCCGACGATCAAATGGCCCACTGGCGAGAGGAATACTCCGCCGCTCTAACGGCACGAGATAGGCGGGAGAAGGCCAATGTTGGTTTGTACAATGCCTGTATGCCAGACAAACTTCGCCTTTAACAGAAATCTCGCTCTGACAACTCATCAACGATCTATCAGATACCCAACTTGCGGATCGTACAGCGAAAGCTGTCCCCACTTCCGCAGACGCCCAACAACACACACGTGCCACATCTCCAGCAGGCAAACCTGCAGGACATCTACCGGGGCACCCAGACTCTTCTCTGCAGGATGCGTTAGCTGCGACGAGGACAGATCTAACTGAGGCGCAACGCTCCCGTGCTGAACTGCAGGACCGGCTGGCTCGTATAAGCGCTGATTTGGAAAAGCTTCGAAAACGGAGTGCCCAGGATGGAAAGCGGATAAACGCGCTAGAAGGCGAGAGAACATACTTACAGTTGCGCCTGAAGGATAGAGACGAGGAGTTGAGGGGCAAGGCCAAATTACTAGATGTACGTTTGCGAATTCCTAGGGACCATGTTTGCTATGCGCCTTGCTGACTAGATGACAGGACTTCCAAGATGAATTGGCAACGCTAAACTTGCAGCTTAATATGGCTGAGGAGCAATCAAATCGGCTGCAGCGCGAGAACCAAGAACTAGTTGATCGCTGGATGGCCAGGATGGGCAAGGAAGCGGAAGCTATGAATGATGCTTCCAGGTACTCATAGGGTCGGCAATCTACTTCTGACCTTACGCTGGTCACTGTATCGTTCTACACGCATCGGGGGGATTGAATTGAAATCCCGCATCTCCTCTTTGAAACTGTACCAAAGGAACAAAATAGGAAGCACCAGCCATTGTTTCGTTCACTCAACGGTCACATGGAAACTCTTCTACTCCTCAACACTTCCCTTTTTCCTCCTCTCATATCTGCATCCTACAAACCCAAAGAGTTTCCACCCAAGTTATCAGCTGTCATGTAGGGCCCCTACAACGGTACGAATCAAGGGCTCTGCTCTTTTTTATGCTTTTGCTAATCTATTCAAGACACGACTATAGGGATATCGTCCGTTTAATTACAGCTGCCACCGGAGATTCTAAGCCTAGTCATGGTGTACCTCAGCGACGATATTGCTTCCCTGCGATCAGCTGTCTTGGTAAACATGACCTGGGCTGCAGTGGGCATCAGTATTCTTTGGTCGATTGCCAGTGACCGCCGTCAATACTATGCGAGTCAGATTCATGTCCTGGGGCCAAAGGCGCAACGCGAAAGTCTTCGCTCCCCAAATTTTCAAGACCGTGGCGTGCCAAAATCGACTTTGGTCTTCCACCACTTGGAAAAGCGATGAAGACTACCCGATACTACCTATAGCCCAACTTAGAGGCACTCGTCTTTAAAGGCGCGATAATTTATCTGAGCTACTATAATCTCTCCTCTATAGGCGTTTTACGGTCTCCGTGGTTTTTGCATCACCTGCATGCGAGTTTAGAGCAACTTTAAGACAATCCATTATCATCATCATTAAATTAAGCTAAGCATCAATAAGCCAGATAAATTACATCATTCACCTTTTAATTTCCCATCAAGCGAGGGCAACTCATTGTTCATTTGGGTCTCTTGTCTCTCAGCAGCAACATCATTCAGAAGCCTCATCAAACGAAGTGTAGTTGAATGATGATCCTGAAGCACTGTAGAGCCCCACCATAGCACTCGAGACCCCTGGATTATGAATCTCTCCTCTAATGAGTATCTTGGCTGCCGTAGACCGCTTACAAGACTGATCCTCATCTTTTCCACTGATGTATGCTCCTTGTGTCACTGACCAGCATAGCAATGTGCTGATCCCAGTTCTCAAGTCCTCCTCCAAGGCAGAAACGCCATGATCATGATCGGTAAATGTGACTTCGAGATTGAGAGGAATAGTATGGGGCACTGTGAGGGTGAATGTTGTTGTGCCTGATAGTGAGTTGCAGCCTTGCAGGATGTTATTCTACATTGGCACCATATTTTACGCCTTAGGAGATGATGGTTGTGTAGAACTTCGAGTATATTTTCTTTGTGCTTGTTGAGTGGTGGAGGAAGTTGCAAGTGCTTCTTCTTCCTTTCAAACACAGGAGTGGGAGCTATACAAGCTGTGTTTGAGCTTGATACAGTGAGATTAGGCGAAGACCGACTAGAAGGAATATCCATGCTATTCTCCATAACTAGTGATAATAAGTGCTGATGGGGGCGAAGAGCAGAGAAACCGGGTCCCTTCTGGCGAGATTTCGAGAGAATGGCGACCAAACCGCAAACCGGAAGCAAGAACAAGAGAGTCGAACTTTTCGGAGGGGAAAGACGAGATAAAAAGCCCTGTCATGCTAGGGACGAGACCAACAGAACAAATCAGAGGCTCGCCCCTTATTTAATACGGCAAAGCGAGTATATGAGGGGGAAAAGAAGTTGAGGTATACTGCGTACAAAGTACTCCGTAGTTTAATATGCTGATTAGCTAAGCCCACGCTATCCCACATCTGGTAGCCCGCCCTATGTCCCTTTATATTCACTGTATGGCGGATTGCTTCATGAATTGCATACATGAACCGTCGTTGGTCTTCTAAAAATATTTATACATAAGCATCCATTATTCTGTATGTGAGCTAAGAATTCAAGGATGTTGTCAAAAGGTAGGAAATATGGGTTCAATGGTCCACCATTCTAGATAAACATTGAATGGAAACGGTGTACTAGAACTACTCAACAACTACCAACTATATGTCTACCAACTATTTATAAATAAGCGTAAAATTCCTGGTTCTTGAATAAGACAACCTATTTATTGTGCTTTCCAGGGAGCCACATGCCTACATCCATCAATCCATCGAGCGAGCGATGCGTGGGAGGGGCAGTTGGTGATCCTTGGGGTGCCCATAAAGAAAATCATCTTCCCTAGCCCGATAAAAAAAGCATATTAGACGGAAATGATGGTAGAAATGGAGTGTTGATCATGGGCGGCTTGGATAGGTTCACTAATGCTTGATTCTTACTTATTGAAGAGGGCTAGAAACTATTTCTTGTGCAAAAGAATGACAGCATTATGCTTAATTCCATATAAATGTTCGTTCCGACAATAGTTAATACATAAGGAGAACCTCGTTTCTCAACTCCATAACAATCCGACGAGACGATAGTCTGTTACACGTTCAATCTCTACACCATCAGATTCCTATTCACTTGCCAAATCAATCTTGTTTATGATTTATCATCTCATCCATCTCTTAGAATGTTGACAAGAGATAGTTCGCCAACCAGTTCTTCCTGTTCCGATGTCAGCAAGAACTCCGGAGGGTTGTCGCCTATTGGAAATGCGGATGAACCAAACGCGGTGTCTGATTTGTGCGTCTTGTTGTCTGGATTAACCTTATGCTCGTTTCTGTCAATATTGGTCCTCCCAATAATACTAACAGAATACAGTCTCTGGACAGGCATCTAACGGCCACCCCTCTTCCGATAACTGCCCAGAGAGTCCAGACCCAGCCGACCTACTCCACAGCAATCTCAACCACCCTGTGGACTCCGAAAAGAAGTCTGATGCTGAACCGGAGGGCACAACGCATACTCCCGCTCCCGCTACCGCTCCCCCAGTCTCTGCCACCGCATCGCTAGAGATGAACGTCGACGAGCCGGCCCCCGTTCTCTACACTGACGTCGCAAAGGAAAAGGATATGGACCAGGCTAGTCCTGAGCAGCATGTCGGGGAGTAATGTTCTGATACGGGCCAGGTTAGTTCTGAGTGTACCGGGGAGGAATACTTTGTTCAAAAGCAATCCGGAGGCCCTTTTAGATCTCCCACTTTGGAAGATGAAATGGACCATAGCTGTCCTGTAGTTGAGCAAACTGCAGAGGCTGTCCCTGATGTCAAAGAAACAGACCCTGAAAAGTCGTTTCAACCGACTTCTAGCCCCCCCTACCGATGTCAAAAGGGAAGTGGAAGAAGGTCATAGAAAGCCGTTTCAACATACTCTTATGAAAGGACAGCGACAATCAGATGCTAGCTTTATAGGGCCGGTCATCGAGGCATCCTCGTCCAAACACGCTCGTACAGCAGTCAGACTACGCACTATCTATTAACGAAGATATATGAGTGAATGATATAAAAAAGGGGCTTGATGTTATCGTCAGAGGACAGTTAACGAAGAACCAGGGCAAGGAAGCCATCTAAACTGTTGGGAAGGGTGCGGGAAGCGGAAAATAATTCATTTATCAGCGACGTAGGACGCGGCAGACGGCTCCTTCGTCGTAAATATGCCCGGGAATCTAATATTCAGTCCGGAACATCCCATCCTTTCCTTCGTGCGAAAGAAGGAACACTGAAGCCTGCTAGCCCAGCAGCCAAAGACGGACCAGCCAGATTGCCCAACAAGGGCAAGAAGCCAGTAATCGATGCTGAGGACATGGTTATTTTGCAGGTTAGCGGCGAGGGAAACGAAAGGGAATCCGTTGAGAAGAATGAGAAAGATGAAGCTGCTGCTGCGGACACAACCAAGCAGACTAGAAAAAGCTTCGATGTGGAGGCCGCGGAGGAAAGGGTAGACAAACGACTTATCCTGGTTAGCATGGCATCCTGGGTAGCGGTTGTTTGGGGCGTGATTATCGGTATCAAGAACTTGCCGCGCAAAATCCGCAGTAACCTCCGGAGAGCCTTCGAGCTGCTCAAGGAGCTTGGCAGTAGATTCCTCGCATTTATCGATCTTCTCAAATTAGTGAGTATAACCATGCTACTACCTTGAGCGCAAATGCTAACACATATTGTTTCAGCAAAAACTCGCCGGGCATTTTGCCAAGATAAAGCCGCTTTCTCCGGTAGTTCTCCCGGTATGACTGGGACGTCCGGTCTTTTTCTCCATATTTGCCAATAATTCAAGCCTTCATGTTCGTTACGACTCTCCTAGGTGTTTCTATGGACATAGCCGAAGCAAGAGGGGGTCGGTGCTGTTCTCTTTGTGCTATAATCAAATCAGCATTTGCTAGAGCCTAACACCTTGTATGGTCTGACTATGTGCTTTGGCTACCTTTATCCATCCTTACAGATACGTGAGTTGAAGGTCATGGATGGGGCTTTAGAAAGGATGGAAGTTTCTTGAAGCTCACTATGATACACTCCAAGATCCTGAGCTTCAAGATCCTGCGCCCTTCACGCAATCATCGTTTATTTCACGCTTTTCTTCGTTCGAGGTCTATGACCCACAGGCAAAAGACACACAGCTCGATTATTCCATCCAATGTTAACCCCGACTTGTCCCCAAGTCTTGACCTCGAAGCTGCCACCATCCAAACGCCCACTTCGACTCAGTCTAACGAATGGAAGCTCCAGCGGCTTAGGCCCCAGGTAGCCACTGTTAGAGGTGAAAGCAGAAACTAGGTGGCTACTAGCTGGCAAAAGATAAGCCAGTCTTCGAGCCGGTGTGTTGCGAAATGAGTTGGTTAATCGACAACTGCCAGAAGTGGAAAGGAGAGTGCGTCAAACAAGGAACTTATGTCGCTGCAATCCTCACTACACAACCAGAGCTACACGTATAGAGGCTGTTGTTCCATGTGAGTATGATTGCGTAAATGGCACAGATAATATGACTGGCTTGTCCAAGCAATGTGCAATGAGAATGATTGCAGTAACTGCAGAGGGATCACCCTTCGCTTCTCCAACCGTATACTTTCGTGTGTTAGTGTCTTGTGAAGCTACATCGTCTCACAACGATTCTCGATAGGCTGCGTCGTTTGCGATCTTTGAGATGTTGAAAGAGCTGAGCAACCAAGTCATGGGACCCATTGATATTGTGAGGGATTTCCAAATGTTGTCGACTGGTGTTGACTGAGACAATAACTGACCAAACAAGATCTGGAGGCTGCTCATACTAATGAGGCAAAGCCGTGAGGGGTCAGTGAGGATGAACAGGATGAGTATGCGGCACAAGACGGGAGGTTTTTTTTTTTTTTTTTTACTGCGGTTCCCTACGTTAAGACGCATAAAAATTCAGCATAACTACCCAATAGTCAAAAAGGAAGTCAGCGTCAATGAAGGTTATCTACAATTAAACCTAGTGTCCTTCATCTTCGCCGGCGGAGCCCCTCTGGCAGAAGAGTCATTTGATTTGCTCGAAACTCGATGCCCGCGCCTACAGAAAATCCACGTTGAATCCATACCCGAGAGCATCAGACCCAGATGTGTGTTGAGATTTCTCCAGAACTGCAAACATTTGAGGTCCATTGGTCTTTACTGGGAGGCGGATGCTTTGGAGAATGATCAGATACATGCTCATCTTGCTGGTCGTGACGATATTGTTGAATTGAAACCCAGCGTGTTCATCGAGTATGAGAAGATCAAAGGGGTTTTCGATCTCCAGAGCCCTTTCAAGGGATTCCGGACCCTCCATCTCAGATTGCCATCAAAAGCAGTCACAGTACTTGTTGGAGCAATACAATCCACAATAGGAACTCTCAGTCTAGAGTTTCAGGACAATGAGGCCAAGGTTCTTTCTACTATCGGCACTCTGGTCAATTTCCGTGAACTTGCCGTCAGTTTCATGCGCAGCACAGACTTACCAGGGATGGATGTCCTAGCCCTCAGACACCTGAAAAAGCTACAATCATTATTAATCGGACCTCAAAATGGAGCGAGTCTGACTTCATTTACGTTGACGGATGATGAGTTTGGTCAGTTGTGTGCAGGTATCGAAGGACTCAAACACTTGTGGTTTGACGCAAGCTCCAGATTATCAATTTTAACAATAATATCACTAGGAAAACATTGTTGTCAACTCGAAGCCTTCAGAATCTTTGGGAGCATATCAATCTGCTTCCCTTGTCTATGTATGAAGCGCCACTGTTTCCAAAAGCGAATTGCATCGAGGTGTCCTGTATCTAAAAAGGGGGAACCCTCCAAATCATTTTCGACGCAACAAACTACGTCTTCATTTGCTTGTTTCTCTCAACCCTCCTCTCGCTTCCTTTCTAGTTCCTTCTCTCCACGATCTTTGCTCTTAGCTTCCGCCTACCGTGGCACAATCTCATCGTTTTCTTGTGGTCTGTCTCTTATTGTTTGGTCTCTGCCAATATACCGCTAACCAGCCAGATCTCATTCGCCCAACGGTCAAATACCAGTTTCCTGTTAGCTGACTACAACCGCCTCCTATTTTTGTCCTACCTGTCTCATCCTCATTTCCATCGATATCTCCTACTTTCCGTATCCCACACGACCAACAAATTCCACCTAAGATATTGGCCGTTATGGCTGACGGCAACGGTATGGTTCAAGGACTTCTTCTTTCCTTGTGCGCTCTACTAACATATTCAAGGCAATATGGAGACTAGTGAGATATCCTTTCGACACTTGCCACTAGAAATCGTACGTCTAGTCCTGGAGCACCTCAGGGGCGATGAAACCTCCCTACGAGCAGCGATCTTAGTGGACAGGACCTGGGCAGCAGAGGGAATCAGTATCCTTGGCAAAACCACCTGCTCCAGCATTGGCCTTGCTTGCGAGTAGTCGCCGTCAATACTATGCGAGCCAGGTCCGCATCCTCACTGCCCACGAGGCACAACATGAAATTTTTCGTTCCTTGGAATTCCCGAGGCTACGATCCGTTATGATTGTATTTGGTTGCCGAGAAGACAAAGAGCGAATGTGTGTCAGCTCCCACCTCCAACCGAACTTGGAGAAATTTATCTTTGGCGGCGCTGTGCTGTCTGAATACTTGATTGGTTTGCTGGAATCTCGCTGCCCACGCTTGAGAACCATCGACATTCACGTTCTATCTGACAGCATCAATTCTGGTCGCTTGCTGAGATTTTTTGAGATGTGCAACTCATTAACAAGAATCTACATCGACTGGAGTACAAATCACCCAATTGATGACCGCGTTTTGGCTCACCTTGCTGGTCGTGATGGTCAGCTGGGCTTCGGGACACAAAGTCCCATCAAATACAGCACAATTAGTAAAGCCTTTGAGATAATCCCAAGTCCGTTCAAGGACACACACACCTGGACGTGAGGGTACAATCAAAAGCAGTTGCACCACTCATAGCTGCTATAAAATCTGCTGCTAGGCTTGTGCTTCGGGTTTTGGATAACAAGGTCATGGTTTTGCCTGCGGTCAGCTCTCTGGCTGGCCTCATAGAGCTTGAAGTTAGCTTTCAAGTCGACGTGGAACTGTAAGCTGATGACATCCTGGCGCTCAGGAGCCTGAAACATCTGACCAAATTTAGCCTTGAAGCTTTGGGAGTGAAAGTATCATCTCATACATTCTCTGTCTACGACTTTATTCACTTGTTTGAAGGGATGTCTAACCTCAAGCACTTGGAATTCCAAGTTGTGCGCGACATGTCGATTAACGCATTAATAACGCTAGGGATCCATCGTCGACAGCTCAGGTATGTCATATCTGGGGAAAACGGATCAACTTGTTGGATTTGGTACACGTAAAAGAACCACCGCTTCTCCCAGAACTAGAATATCTTGAGATCGACGCCACGGGGGCAGAGGATATGGCAGATCTGTGGGCTCGCCCCCTCTAGAATCTTTTCAATGCAATAACTGACGCTGGTAATAGTTGGGGATGGTGGCCTCGTGAACAGGCGGACGAACTTGTCGATTCCATTATTGAACATGCACCGAAGCTGAAGCGACTGCGCTTGTTTAAGGAGGGCGCAAATCGCTTTTGCCCCCATGTGATGCGTGCTTTTGATGCAAGGATACGAGGCAAAGACAAGTCTTGACGTACTCCGGTTTCAATGCAGAGAAAAGAGATATCCACAAAACTGAACAAGAAGTGCGATTGGAATGAAATCGACGTTCTTTGATTTCATACAATCTACCGAATGCAACTGTCGATTGTCATTTATATTGAAGACTTCGCATCCCCTTTTACCCTTTCCCGCTTGTCTTGAGTATGGTCTACTATCTGTCTAGTCTCTACATATGTTTACTTCGATACCTATAATTGTTATTTTTCAGACGTATATCTTTGATCTGCCCGTCTCTTTTCTTCTGTTTCTTCTCTGCAACTGTGTCCGAGACTGCGGAAAATGTATTGATGGCACAATCTGTAGTAAGAGTATCATGAAGTGATGGGAGCGCTTTGTCAAATGAGGTTCTCTAATGTTACTCTATATGTAACTGACAAGTGCCATCTTTAATCAAATCCTCAAGTGTATATTATATATACAAAAATGCGACCCCATGAAGTCATATCCAAGAAAGAATAAAAGAAAAAGCGGCCAATATATATATATATATATATATATAAATAAAATAAATAAAATAAAAACAGGGGTCCAATGCACAAATGCCAGTCTTCATCTTCATGATGCTTTGTACAAAAATATATGGTATCATAATCACAAAAAGCCCCAAAAACCAAACCAACGGATCCAAAAGAGAGGGGAAGGGGAAGGGGAAGGAAAGGAAAGGGAGGAATATATGATGAGTATGGACATGTTATTTCCAAAAAAAAAAAAAAAAATAGAATATTCAAAGTCTCTGGCGAGCTGCCGTTTATATACCAATTGCAAGGCCTCATTCTGTGCCTTCGACAAAAGCCTTGAGTCTGGAGCTATCCTTGGTAGCGACGAAGTAAGTACCGCCAACGTCTGTCCAACTGACGCTGTTCGACCAGTAGTTCTTCTGCTTTACCTTGAGGAGATTAATGGGCGAGTTCAAATTCCGCGACTGGATCTTATGACCAGCGGGAACGAATGACTTCAGCGAAACGATCTGGCAGCCTTCTTTCATATCCAAGAAATGGTTGATTAGTTCGTTATTGAGTTGTGGGGTGAACGCTTGGTTGTTGATGAGGACGACGTCAGCCCGCTTCAGCACAGCGATGATGTTTTCTTCCGTGAGGAAATCACCTCGCGCCAAATGTGTTTTACCCGGCGCAACGCCCCAGAGTCGACACCGGGCTTTGAACTCGGCCTGTTGGAGATCGGCGAGGTCGCAGGCATTCTGCATCATTTCGCAACCCCAGCTTTCGCAGCCGATTTCCAGAGCGGCTTGTAAAACGACGTTACCCACACCAGAGCCCAGATCGACAAAAACCTGGCCAGACTTCAACCCGGTCTCCTTGAAGATGTTGCTGATGAAGCGTGGAAGAAGTTCGCCATATACATTGTCCGACCCGTTCTCGTACTGCCGGAGAGATTCGACGCGAGGCGAGACTGTGCGCGAATAGATTTGATTCAATACGCGCTCCACGTGAGGTAGACTGAGTCGAGTCGTCGCGTCCAGTTTTTTCGCAATACTCCCGTTCCGCCGGAATCGCTCAATCGCCTTATTATAATCATCAACGGTTTCGCGCACCTCCGCCTCGGACGCGTGAGCCAAAGCTCGTCGTAGCCTCCGCTTAATACCGGTTGACTCGTTGTTGAGCTCGTCCGCTTCTTCCTCGGGGATGTAATGCTGGGCAGCAACCTCGATAACCTGTACGATGTCGTCGATGGGTTTGAAGTCGTCGTTGTCCCGCGGCACCACGAGCTGAAACCTAGAAAACGCGAGAAGTCAGCATATATTAACCCTCAACTATCCAAAAGCCACATACCTCTCCTTCTGTGAAGCACTGGGATACTGCAGAAGAATGTCAACCGGCTTATCCCCACTCCCGAACGCAGGCTTAAAATTCTTCGCCTTCTGCCCAGACGTGATATCAGAAGCATGCACCATCGAAAAAGGCTTAACACCCTCTTCCGAGAAAGCCTTCAATGAGCGCACACGTCTCGAAGGATCCGGTTCCGCACTGTCATCCGTCCTAGCCCGTTTGCGCACCTCGAACGATGTATCGGTATCACTCGCGTCATCGTCGCTAGACAGTCGCAGCTCGGGCGTCTGTCTTTTGCGGTTGGTTCGTAACGGGGTTATTGATCGCGACTTCGACGGACGTTGTTCCGGGACCTTCGAGGCTGGTCTGCTTCCCGAGTCTCGTGTCTTCGTAGCCTTGTCACGGGGTGGGATTCGCGACGGCTGCGACGTCGATGTCGGTTTCGATGCGGGGACGGGTCGCGTCTGGACGACTTTGCGGATTTGGGGCTTCTGAGCTTGTAGCGAAAAGGATCCTCCTTTTTGGAGGTGGTCAAAGAATCCCATGGAGCAGGAATTGACGGCCGGCGACGGGAGTGGCGGGGGAGTTGCAGGGTAAAAATAGAGTCGGAATATGGGCAAGAAATGCAAAACAAAACGATAAAAACTGCGGTCTCGAGTCTATACAAAAATGCTATAATTAAAGAAAGAAAGAAGAAGAAATGGGGAGCGATGATCGAGTGAGAGAAAGAGAGAAAATCGCGGCACGTGCTGAGAAGAGACAGAGGATGGAGAAAGAGCCGCTTTCCACTCTTAGCGTCTTTGTATAGCCTCAAATGTCGCCACTTTGGGCCATCGGTGTCCCTATGTATATATGTATTATTGATTGTCCATACTAATGCAAGATCAAGACCCCTGCATCTATTAGAGTCAATCGAGATCTGAGATCCCCGCCGCCATGGTTCTGGAATGTATACGCATAACTACGTTGTTCTTACAACATTCCCCCCATATGGTGCCTCGGTCTGGGTATCAAAACTTTTGCTCGAGTCTGTATTTATACTATAAATGACAATAATATTATTCACAGTGAGTAAACGCTGCGCGTTTATTAGGACTTCTTCTTCGCCAGCCGCTTCTGAGCCCGGATATCCTTCTTCATACGCGAATCCACAATCTTGTACTTGCCCTTGACTCCACGAGGACGGCCAGAGATACCACGGTTGGGACCCTTGGCAACAACAAGCTTGGTCTGTTGCTTGGGCTTCTTCTTGGAAGCCTTGCCCATCATTGCCGTGATGGCTGCCGACTTGTCCCGTTCGCTGAGCGCGTCGTCCTCCGCCAGCAACGACGACTTCTTGCGCAGACGCTCCAGTCTCGTCGCAGCCCTCATCTTCTTGCGGCCCTTCGCTTCCATCACCTTCTTGATGGGGCGGGCGTTAATGGCACGCATCTTCTCCTTGATTGCGGCTGCAGCGGCCTTGGTGATGGGGCGGTTGGGGTTAGCGTGTCTGTTCTCGTCGTCGAGGAACCATTCCGGAAGACCTTCGAGTTCGCGGAAGGCGTGCTTGTTGTATCCGTCGTCGACGAGGTCGTGGGATTTCTTCTCGCCGGTGGCCATTGACTGCGCTAGTGCCATAGCTTCCGCAGTAATGATATCGATATCTGCATCACAGTCAGTAACAGCTACTTTTGTCTACAATGGTTGAGAGGGGCTTACCAAGCTGGCCATTGCCCTTCCTGGGATCCTCAGGCTCTTCAAGCTCTTCATCTGACTCTTGCGCAACCTGCTCCTGCTCCTGCTTCTTTGCATCCTTGGCCTTCTGTTTCTTCGATTTTGGCTCCTCCTTAGGTTTCTCCCCCTCCTGGTGTTCGTCTGCGCTGTCTTCATCTTCCACATCGTCGTCACCTAGACCCTGGAAAATGTCTTGGTCGAAGAACAACGCTGCGTTGTTGGACAACGCTCCGGACTTGGAAGCGTTAGCAGGAGTGCTCTCAACTTCAGCGTCCGAACCCTCTCCTTCGGCTTCGTCATCGTTTCCTTCCTTGTCCGAAAAGCCCTCCCATTCGTCAGCCTCGTACTCCTTTCGAGCCTTCTTGGCGCGCAATTTCGAATCCCGGTCTTCC